TTAGTCCATCCATTGGTGTCTGCCCTGCCCACTAGTGGCCAGGGATTGTGTGGACAACATTCCTAGCAAGGCTCCACAAGGATGTGCGGCGGATGCGACTCCACCGTCGTATCGTTACTGAGACAGACTTTGGCCCAAGTCTAGTAGGTGTAGTACCCAATATAACTTTATATATTAGAATTCACCGAGAGGTTGTACATTATCCTTTGACGGCATCGATTAGCATCCGACAAATCATTGCAAACCCAGAGTTGCATGTCCAGCTGGTTCACGCCAATCGTTCAAGTCCAGATGTCCACTCCGTTTGCCATACGTCGGAGATTATCTCGCACAGATGAACAAGAGCGGGATTCTCCGTCATGGTACAGGCAGACAACCTATGCGAGTTGCGATGCAGACAATCTATTCCGCGAGGCGAGTAGCATGGCCTGGCCCGGCCGCCCATGCTCCTTCCGGGCAGGCGGCGCGCTTTCCGACCGTCACGGTCAACCTGCTCCCGTGCTCCTTCCGAGCAGGCGGCTTGTCCTGCCGTCACGGTCAACCTGCTTCCGTGCTCCTTCTCTTGCCGGACAGAGAAGCGAACGTTCTCTCAGTCACTACTGCTACAATACATTTACATTCCTATAGAGACTCTCTGCTCTCTATAACAGCAGTCCTTAAATAGTGCAGTGCTTCTGGGCGGTCACGTTCTGATAAGACAATCTTTGCACCCTCATTTCCCAGTCTGAATTTCTATTTAATCCAAGCTATTGCTGCTACCCGTAGCGCTCGTACTACTACTGCACGTCCAACCACTGCCTAAACGGCCGTTCCTGGGAGCACAACAGCGGCTAATCTCTGCCATTATGACAATTGCCTCTGAGTTATGCACGAGTTGTCTCTTGGCGATATCTCTACAGGAGGAGACGTATAGCAGCTTTCAAAGCACTCGGCGGCTAACCGTCAACTCTCTGAGAATGAGACGCTGTCTGAGAATGAGACTCTCTCTGAGAGCCGAGAGGCGTGCGCGCAGGAGGTGGTGAGGCGGCGAGGGTGGGAGGCGATGGTGGCACGGGTGGTGGGGTCCGATGGGCACAGCTGGCTCAAATACGGCCAGAAGCAAGTCAAGGGCTCCAATACCACCAGGTCAGCCTCGTTGACTTCCATTCACTCGCGTTGACTTCAGTTGACTTGCTTGGACTCCTGTTGACTCCATAGTTCAGCTTCGACTGTCAATGATTGTCAGTACTTGATCATATGTCCTCTCACGGAGTGCGGGTTTTCACATCTCCGCCGGGCTGTGCTGCTCTTGTGCGGGACTCTTTACTCATCCTCCACCGTCCCGTCCCCCTTTTCCCTCCCTCCTCCACTCCCGCAGGTGCTACTACAGGTGCAGTCGCTTCAAGTCCAACCCGCGATGCCCGGCCAAGAAGACCGTTGACATCAGCTTTTCCCCCCCACCAACTCATCCTTTCCCCTTCTCTCCAAATCCCCCCTTCCCCGCATCACAGGTGCTACTACAGGTGCAGTCGCTTCAAGTCCATCCCGCGCTGCCAGGCCAAGAAGACCGTTGACATCAGCACCACCGAACCGCTCTCCCCCGACGCAATCCAAGTCACCAACCGCTGCGCCCTCCACAACCACCCCGCGCTTCCCACCCACCGCTTGGCCCCCACCCACCGTTCGCCCACTCGCCACATCTTCCCCCATAACCACCCCACCAAGTGCGTCAACAAGCGGTCTGCTTACTGCGCACCAGATCATTGTAACAAGAGGGCTGCTTACAGCCCTACCGACCTTCCCACCAGCTATGCCACCGACGGCTATTTCAACCTCGCGGGTTCACACGATGGGGTTGGCGATACTCCGTCCAAAGCCTATCAATCTGCTGAATCTGGTGTTTTCAACACCGTCGCGAGTGATTTTGGTGCAGCTTTGAACTCTCCGGCTGTTGAGTCTGGTGGGGCTATGAACATCCTAGTGCCGACATTGCAGAATGGGAGCATGGAAGTGAGAGCTGCTGATACTGCTGCTGCCGCCGCTGCTGATGGTGCTGTTGATTTTGCAGATTGGGCCGCAGAAGCCCTTTTGCACTCTCCCTGTCAGCAGGAGAAGCAGTTACCTGAGTGTACTTCCCTGCCTGTGTGGGACTTCCCCCCACTGTCTCCCCTGCCGACCCTCCTCCAGTCATCCCCTCCGTGGCTGGATGAGCTTATCCCCGTTAGTGCCTGCTCCACTGACCTCAACACTGTTGCCTCAGCGAGGCCTACAGTGTCTCTGGAACAACTGCTTATGGCTCTTGGGTGTCAGACGCTGGAAGAAGATCGCAGCCGTCGATTGGATGGTGAGGACTCGGAAGATTGGACGGTTGAAATTGACTCTCGGCTGGGAGCAACATCGCCTACGAAGCAAGACCTCCAGGAGCTGTCGTCACTGCATTGCAGAGCTACCAACCACGCAGGTCACGTGGGGCCTCTACCGGAATATATTGACGAGGAGGCGACTGAGGAGGGGCAAACCGCACATGGTCTGGGAAGCAACGAGGAGAATTTCGTCCTTGGTTTCCATTACGATGGGGAGGAAGGGTCGATGCACGGCCCTTCAGAGGCGAGACAGGGAGCACCGATGGGGTCGGTGCTGCTGCATACTGCTGTGCTGGGTGCTGCTACTTCTTCTGATGCTCCTGTCTTTCAGTCGCACCAAGATGTGCAAGTTACGCCTCTAACAGACGCCACTCTTCACGCGCCTGTGAATGGGAAAAAGCGGCCATTCTCAGTCATGGATGCATTGCGGCCATCCCCCTATTCTACTGCCGAAGCCTTTGCTCAAGCCTGTGACCAAGCTTGGAGCAGCCAAGTTTCGGCCGCTTGTGGCACGAGTTACCAATCATGCAGCACGGAATTGAATTCAAGCAGTGCTGGGTACATTTCCCAACACACAAGTCGCATGGGGAATGACATGAATCACAGCGAGCAGCACTCCCCTCCTCTGCATATTGAAGAGGCTGAGAAGGTGGAGCATGTAAGGCTGGTGCAGCAGCAGCAGCAGCAGCAGCAGCAGCAGCAGCAGCAGCAGCAGCAGCAGCAGCAGCAGCAGCAGCAGCAGCAGCAGCAGCAGCAGCAGCAGCAGCAGCAGCAGCAGCAGAAGAAGAAGATGGTTGGCCCGTTGACCCCCGCAGCAGCAGTGTTTGCATTTCTTGGGGGAAGCAGCAGCACCCGCGTTTCAGACTTTGCAGCTGCTGACGTGCGGAAGGAGATGCAGTCGTGGCTAGAGGGCACAGCGTAGGAAGGAACGCTTTTTGGCGGTTTACAGAACGATCTGTTGTACTCTAGTTGTGCATATATTTTGAATCTACCAGTACATTACATCCAGTTTTTGTCACTTGCCATTAGCCTATTCAACATGGCAGTGGCACATCTCTTGGCTTTTTATGTTTGCTTGTTCCCCGCACTAGTGTGATAAGTGCAAGAACTTGCACCGCAAACTAGCCAGAACATGTCTGAGAGTGAGTTACCACGGTACTTCATGACCAAACCAATCATTCTGCGATTATTCCATTTCAGGAAGCAACAGCAGGCAAGGGGAAGGTGAGCAGGAAAATCGAACAAAGGGAAATAGAGGTGAAGGGACTCGATATTGCTTCTCAAGATGCTACATTCAAGTCAAGGTGTAGATCCGAAACGAGGCGTTCACAGTGGGGGATTTCCTTAGAATTTTTGCACAAGAAATGCACTGCCCAATCAGGATGTATGGCACAATGTGTTTTTGGCCAATCACGCGGAGGGGATGATGTGGAGATTTTCTCTGACAATGGAAAACCCAAACCGTCTGTACAGCGCATACATTGCCCTTCCTAGGTCCACCCATACAGTTCATTATATAGACCATCCATGGTGCCTGCTCTGTTGGAGATAATATTGTGCGGACGACATTAGTGGGCAGAGTTCACTTATGTCGTTCGCACAATCACAGACCATCTCATTTCTGGCAAGAATGCGCACGAGTGTGCGGCGACGTCAGCGTCGTTTGTGGAATCGCAGCTCGGTCAACCTGCTTATCGGACTGCTTATCACTAGGTGGGAGGACGAAGGTTCCACGGACACTCTGCGGCGGCCACTGGACTGGACGCGAGTCGTGTTTACTGTATCAGCAGCGCGCCGCTGCGCGTGCGTACACTAAGAATGAAGCACGTGCGACAAACAGTTATTGGAGTTCCCTTGATTGCTACACTCAGACAGACTCTGGCCCAAATTCTAAGCCAGGTGGTGGTACCCAATCCAAGCCTTATACAATACAGTAAGAGAATATACCAAGAGGTTTGTATCTTTGACGGGTGAGGCGAGCTGCTCAAGTTGCTTCCCCGTCATCCCTTCCTTCTTCCCTTCCCCGTCCTTCTTCCCCGTCCTTCCTTCTTCCCCTTGCGAGTCACGACGAGTGACACAGGCTGTCGTCGATTAGTAGCATCCGACAAAGTCTTGCAAGTCCAGGATTGCGAGTCCAGCTGGCCACTCCGCCACTCCGCTCGTCACGAGTCGGAGATGAGCTTGTGCTGTACGCTTCAGTGCTGGCAAATGAACAAGAGCGGGATTCCCCTTCACGGTGCAGGCAGCATTAGCGAGTTGCTTTGCAGGCAACCTATGCGAGTTTGCATAGCCTCCCCTATCACGAATGGCCTCCCTTATCAACAACCGTACCGCACACAAGCACGCAAGCAATGGACGGTGGCGATTGTCCGGCCGTCGCCGAAATCCTTTGCTCCTTCTCACGCCGGACAGAGAAATGAACGTTCTCTCGATCACTGTCTACTCTTCTACCAGAAAGTAGCAGCACGACTATCACTATAGTAGTAGCTCCACATTGAGTACTACTATCACTGTTAATAGCAGGAGTCGTAGCTCTATACCGTATTGATCGGTCACGTTTGTCATCAGACAACCCTGTTCCTTCATTTACCAGCACCATTACTGTTACTTCTTGCGCTATTCCAACCTAACCGGCATTTCCTGGGACAACAGCGACTAATGCCTGCAGCCACAATGGCAATCCCTTCCGAGTTAGGCTCGAATTGGCTCTTGGAGTGTCTGAGGGGTCCTCATCAGGAGACGCATGATAGCCGTCAGCTCTCTGAGCATTTGGCGGCTAGCCGTCAACCCTCTAAGTCGGCCAGCCGAGAGGCGTGCGCGCAGGAGTTGGTGCTGCGGCGCGGGTGGGAGGCGATGGTGGCACGGGTGGTGGGGTCCGATGGGCACAGCTGGCTCAAATACGGCCAGAAGCAAGTCAAGGGCTCCTCTGCTACCAGGTCAGCCTCAGCCTCGCGGACTCCCGTTGACTCGGGTTGACTTGCGTTGACTTGCTTGAACTCCTGCTCTTTGTGCTTCACGTACCACCCATGCTTTGCTGCTCTTGTGGGTGATTTTCCCCCTCCCTTCTCCCTCCTCCTGCACTCTCCCGCTCGCATCACAGGTGCTACTACAGGTGTGCACGCGCCAAATCCATCTTGTGCTGCCCAGCCAAATCCATCAACTCTTCTCCCCCACTAACCTATCCCATCCTTCCCCACTTCTCTCTCTCCCTTCCCCCCCCTTCTCTCCCTCCTCTCTCTCTCCCTTCCACCCCCCCCCCCCCCCCGGGCATCACAGGTGCTACTACAGGTGCGCCCGCGCCAAGTCCATCTCGCGCTGCCAGGCCAAGAAGACCGTTGACATCACCTGCAGCAGCGAGCCTCTCTCCCTCGACGCCATCCAAGTCACCCACCGCTGCCGCCTCCACAACCACCTCGCGCCCCCCTTGCGTCCCATCCACCGTCCGCCCACTCCCCACGTCCTCTCCAGTAACCCCTCCTCCTCCAAGTGTGTCAACAAGGTCCCACTCTCCAGTAACCCCCCTGCCTACCGCACTACCAATCACTTGGACAAGAGGCCTCGTACTTACAGCCCTGAAGACCTTCACACCGGCCGTGCTTCTGACTGGCGTTTCAACCTCGCGGCTTCACATGGTGGGGTGTGCTTAGAGAATGATCTGGGCATTTCACCTGCGCCCAACGCCATTCGCCCGTGTGAACCTGCTGACGGTCTGAACGCCATGGCGAGCGATTTCGGTGCGCCTGTGAGCGCTCTGAGTGCTCTGGGTGTTGATTCTGTTGGGGCTATGAACATCCCGACATTGCAAAATGTCATTCGCCCGTGTGAATCCGGTGGCGGTCTCAACGCCCTGGCGAGTTATTTTGGTGCGGCTCTGAGCGCCCTGGGTGCTGATACTGTTGGGGCTCTGAACATCCCGACATTGCAGATTGGGAGTGTGGAAGGGAATACCGCTGCTGCCAGTGATCTTAGCGCTGATGCTGCTTCTGCAGTGGCTAGTGATGGTGGTGCTGCTAGTGCGGCTGGTAATGGGGACATTATTGGTGCTGCTGGTGCTGGTGTTGGTGCCTCTTCTCCCGCTGATGATTGGGCTGCAGCAGCCCTTCTGCACTCTCCCCGGCAGGAGGAGCAATTATCCGAATTCTGTTGCCTGCCTGAGTGGGACTTCCCCCCACTCTCTCCCCTGCCGACTCACCTCCACTCATCTCCTCCGTGCCTGGCTGGGCTTATCCCCGTTAAGAGCTGCTCCACTGACCTCAACGGTGCTGCTGCGGTTGACACGTCGAGGTCTAAAGTTTCTCTGGAATCTTGCCGCTCTCGGATGTCAGACGCTGGAAGCAGATCACAGCCGTCGATTGTACGCTGAGGGCTCGGACAATCCGACGGATGAGATTGACTCTCTGCCGGGAGCAACATCGCGTACGAATCAAGGGTTCCAAGATCTGCCATTCCGATGCAGCATCAACCAGGGAGGAAGGCTTCTACCGGAATATCCTGGCGGGAGGACGGTTGAGGAGGAACAGCAGCCTGCAGGAGCTGTGGTGGAAGGCAATGGGAAGAATTCCTCCCCTGATTTTGTTTGCGATGGGGAGGAAGGGTCAGTGCACGCCCCTTCAGAGGCCAGGCTGGGAGCACCGATGGGGTCTGTGCTGCTGCATGCTGCTGTGCAGAGTGCTGCCGTATCTGACGCTCCTGGCTTTCAAGCCTACCAAGATGTACCAGTGCCACCGCTGACAGCCACTGCTATTCACATGCGCATGAGTGGGCAGAAGCGGTCATTTTCAGCCATGGATGCACCTCTATCTGCGGTGACATTTGATTTAACGCACATGTCACCAACTGGCTGTGCCTCACCGCCAGTAGCAGCCACCACCTTTGCTACTCTCGTGAATGGGCAGCAGAAGCAACCTTTATCTCTCATGGATGCACGGCTGCCTGCCCCCCGTGCCTCTGCCCAAGCTTTTTCTCAAGCTTGTGCCCAAGCCTGTGACCAAGCCTGTGACCAAGCTTGTGACCAAGCCTGTGACCACGCCTGTGACCGACCCTCTGCCCGAAGCTATGCTCGTGTGGACTTCGAGACAACAGCTGAAATACAAAAAACGCATACGATGGCGATGCAGGGAGCAGGATTGAAGCGAGGAGCTTTATTGGGTCAGCAGCAGCTTCAATGTCGCTCAACCAATCGACTTGAACCGCACGCCCTGCGACGTGCAGGTTTGGTGCAACAAACAACCCCGAGCCAAGCGATCAAAGCCCACCTGCATTCAATGCGCAAAGCTCATTCTTCTCAGCTTGCAGCGTTCCCAACTGCAGTGGAACACTAAAAATCTGGGCCGTTGCCTCGGCAGAAGATGTTTGTTGAGCCGTTGATCTCCGCTGCAGCCGTGTTTGCGTTCCTGGGAGGGAGTGGCAGCACCCGGGTTTCAGACTTCGCAGCCGCTGACGTGCGGAAAGAGATGCAGTCGTGGCTAGAGGGTGCATAGGAAGGACAGAAAGCATTACAGAGATCTAATTGCATTAATTGTGCAGTTATTGCATGTATGGCATGTCGAGTCTCTCAGATCCAGAAAATGACACCTGCTGTAAACTTGGCACATCAGTGGCTGTTGATTGTGGTCTCCTCTAGGACCAGGCATGGTAAGCCTTCTTCACCCATTCAAACAGACAGAACTGGAATGAGATGAAATTTGGGTCGTCCACTAGCTTTGGGGTCTCCAATCAAGCAGCTGGGTCTAAAACTTACAGTAACAAGATCAGCTAAGCAAATGTTTGGCAAATCCTATGACCTGTAATCCTACCAAGCCAAAAGTTAGCAAAGCAAAGCACGTCTAGCAAGCATCCACAAGAGTCAATATTTATGAGAAGTTATTACCAGATAACTAACGACGAGCCACCGAGCCCAAGAACTCGCTACAGCGCCAATTATGCATAAAGTCTCGCATCCAGGTTTGACGCCCCCTGAGAAATTCAGAACCAGCAGTAGCATCAGAACAAAGCAACGAAGAAACCGTTTTTGAAAACAAGAAAAGAGAGAAAAGCAGAAGAGAATTGGAGGCACCTCACCTAGACAAAGGAGTCGCTTGTGAAACGCTTGCACATCACGACTTGCCGCCTCCCACTCGGAGCAGCATGCTGGGAAGCCGCCACCTATGCTTCAAGTCCTTCACCTTCTCCCCTCCTGCCTTCTCCCCTGGCTCCTCTGGCACCTTTGACAGCTTCCCCACGCCCTCTGCTCCGATTCCACCTGCATGCCCTGTACCGTGCTCCACCTTTCGCTCCTTGCTGAATGCTGACCCGCCGAACAGATCCCGGCCGGGAGACGCGGGGATTCGGGCGAAGGTGGAGGAAACGAGGGAGTGCGTGGGGGACGGGGGCACGAGGCCGAACCGTGCGGGTGACGGCGGGGTGGAGTAGGAGAGTCTGGCAGAGGAAACAGAGGGGACAGCAGGGGAGCCCTTGCTGCTGCTCTGAGCAGGGGACGCCTTGGCAGAGGGAGCAGCGGAGCGGGGATGGCGAGGAGTGGCGCCAGCCTGTGCGGTGAGGTGGGAGGAGAGGTGTGGAGAGTGGTGCGAGGAGGTGTGCGAGGGGGACTTGGAGCTACGGCGGGATCGCAGAGGGAGAACCTCCTCGTCCTCGGGAATAGGCGCTGGCATCTGCTGGACTCCTCCTGCCCCCTGCTGCTGCTGCTGCATCTGCTGGTTTAGCTGGTGGTGCGGGAGGCGAGCTGGGAGGGAAGAGTCACGGACGAGAGGCAGAGGCAGAGAGGAGTCGCGCACGAGCGGCATGCCCCCTTGCGAGGGGACAGGGTCACGTGCCAGGGGCACGCCGTCTCTGAGGCGGTCGATGCGAGACTGGTCATAGTCCTTCATGCGATGCCGCATGGTGGCGGCCGTGGTGACGTCTGCCGTGCTCGCTGCTGCAGGCGCAGCGGTAGCGGAGGCAGCGGTGGGACCAGCAGCAGCAGCGGCGGCGGCAGAGGCAGCAGGCGCAGGCGCAGCCGGGGCGGGTGTGGAGGCGGAGCGCACGAGTGGGGCGTCTGAAGAGGCGGAGGTGTGGGAGACGGAGCGCCGGGGACGTGCAGGGGTGGGTGCCCTGTGCTCCCTGGGGGCTGTGTTGGTGAGAGAGAGGAGGTAAGGAACGGACGGGAGGAAAGAAAGAGGGGGGAAGGAGATGGGGGAACAGAAGAGGAGGTTAGAGGGCCAGTGGAGGTGAAGCTGTGTCAGTTAAAGAAACAATGCGAGCAGCATCAGCAACAGGAACAAGGAGTATGTATACAAAGCATTGAGCACTTTTGAGGCGCCTCAAAACTCTTGGAGCCAGGAGCATGTATTTATAGGTGTGAGCATACCACCATGCATCGTACCTGCTTCATCGCAGCTTTCTGCCTCATGGTCACTCCAACCACCGCGATTGCCACCATCAGCAGCTTCCCGACTCCCTCCCCTACCACCCCTGCCCGGAGACAAAAGTTCCCTGCCTGGGGAAGTAACATTTTTCCTCCCTGGAGACACCATGGCTGCCCCTACCCTGCCCGAAATCAACCCCCTGGGCGAAATCATCCCACTCTTGACCGACGCGGGGGAAGGGGAGAGGCCAGAGAACGCAGCAGAGGCAGAGCCTCTACCTGGGGACGGGGAGGAGGAGGAGGTGGAGGCGGACGAGGAGGAGGAGGAAGAGGAGGGAGGGTGGGTTTTACTGGGGGAGGGGGAGCCTCTGCCAGGGGAGGTGGAGCGGGCGGGCACGCCACTGCGGCTGACGAGAGGAGCACGGTGGTCGTCTGTGTGCATGCGCACTGCCACCTGCTCCACGCCCACCCCTGGCACCAGCAGCAGCGCCACCGCTGCGAAGGACACTCGTGGGATCAGCCTCTTCCCCTCTGCTGCTGCTCCTCCTGCTGCTGCTGCTGCTGCTGCTGCTGGCCCTGCTGGTGCTGTGGCTGCTGCTGCTGGTTGTGCCTCTGGGCGAAGCGGGAGGGGCTTCCCGGTTTCTTAAGCGCCCCCTTGCGGACCTTGGGAGCGACTGCTGCTGCTGCAACAGCAGTGCCAGAAGCAGCAGGAGGGGTTGGTGCAGAGGGGAATGCGAGAGGGTTGCGCAACACAGGGAGCGAGGCGGATTTACCAGCAGCGGTCAAGGAAATGCCTTCAGCAGACGGGTCACTGCCACTCTCACTCGCACTGCTGCTGCTGCTCCCACTCCCACTGCTGCTACTCCCGCTGCCACTCCCCGCTGCTGCCGCTGCTGCTGCTGCCGCTCCCGCTGCTGCTGCCGCTGCCACTACTGCTGCTGTTAGCCCTGCCCTTTCTCCCAGCCGCTGCTGCTGCCACTGCTTCGGCTCGTGCCTGCGCCTTGAGTCGATCCAACATGCTCAGACCCTGCATCTGCTGCGCTGCTGCTGTGCTAGGCTGCTGCACTGTGGCTGCTGTGACTGCAGCACTAGGAGCCTCCTTCTCTGCTCCTGCACTCTCCACCTCACCCTGCTGCTGTTGGCTTGCCCCCTGCACCACCTTCACTTCGTCCTGTGTTGCTTTCTCCGTGCTGCCTGCGCTGCCAGTGGTGTCATCACCACCAGCAACAGCAGCAGCGGCAGCGGAAACAGCAGCAGCAGGAGCCGAAGCAGGAGGAGTGGCAGGAAGAGGGAGAGAAGAGGCCTTGTCAGGGGTGGTCTTGGAATCAGGTGGCGGGGTGGAAGGAGCAGCATTCACAGCACCTGGTGAAGTCACCACATTGGCAGCAGCGGGTGCAACCACACAAGGTTGAGCAGCAGCATCAGCAGCACCAGCAGGGGCGACAGGCAGGCCAATGCTAGTGAACTCCGAATGCACGCACGGCAGCAGCGCCACCGGCATACCAAACTGCTCTGCTGCTGCATCTCCCCCCACTCCTAACCCTGCTCCTGCCGCTTCTGTGCCCGCTGCTGCTGCAGCAGCAACAGCACACTCTTCCCCCCCATCAATCACCACGGCCTGAATGACAGGTTCCACTAGGCTCTTCGTGACAGGGTCCAGTACGGGCGCTAGAGGCGCGCTGGCTTTGCCTGCCTTCGTCCCTGCCCCTGCCGGCTTTGCTGTCCTGCTGCTCTTGCCGCTGCTTCCCTTGCCGCTGCTAGTCTTCCCACTGCTGCTTTTAGTAGTGCTGCCGGTGCTGCCGGTGGTGCCAGTGGCGCCTTTGCTCTTGCTCTTGCTCTTGCTCCCACTGGCAGCACCACTCCGTGCCACGCCTGCCGAACCAGTGCCGGACCTGCTGCCGCTGGTCTTGCTTCCGGGCCTGCTGCGGTTGCCGGACCTGCTGCCACTACCGGACCTGGTGAGCTTCACCCCTTCAGGCTTGGTGCCAGGTGTGCCAGTCTGCTCGCTCTTCTGACTCTTCCCCTCTTTCACCTTGGCCTTGCCAGTGCTGCTGCTGTCGTCAGTGGCAGCACTGACCCCTGGTGTTGCTGCTGCTGCTGCTGCTGCTGCTGCCACTGCTGCTGCTGCCACACTGGGAGCCAGGTTGTTGCTAACACCACCAGGCGATTCAAGCTCTATCTCACTCCCACTCTCGCTCCCACTCCCGCTCCCGCTCCCACTAGCACTCCCATCCTCGCTCTTGCTTCCACTTCCGGACCCGCTGCTACTGCCATCACCACTGCTTCCAGCACCACTGCTGCTGTAACTGCCACTGCCACTGCCGCCACTGATGCCGCCACTACTACCACCACTGCCGTCGTCACTGCTACTCGCCCCGCTGCTGCTACTCGTATCAGCAGCATCAGCCCGCTCGTAGCTCTCATAACTCCTCACAGTCACGCGGTCCTCAGAGGAGTGTGACGAAGACTGAGTGCACGACTCGCACGTCAAACTCTCCTCTTCATCCTTCTCCTCGCCCTCCACCCATCCTTCCACCAGCACTGCAGTACCACCTCCGGTGCTGCCTGCAACGGCTGCTGCCTTTTCTGCCGCCTCTGCTGCTGCTCTTGCTGCCGCTGCCACTGCTGCAAGTCTCTCTTCCTTCTCCCTCTCTTCCTTCTCCCATTCGTCCTTCTCCTTCGCCTCTCTCTCCTTCCTCTCCTCCTGTTCCTTCCGTTTCGCCTCTGCTTCCTCCTCTGCCCTTCCCTCCTCGAATACTAGCACTCCAATGCCCTCGCTTCCCTCCCCAGCCTCCTCCCATTCCACACTCTCACTCCCTTCACTCCCCACAACCACCTCTCCCCTCTCAATCCTCCCAATCTCTGCCCAGTCAACAGACCGTGACACTTGTCCCCCCTCCCTCTCCCCCTTCCCTTCCGCCTCCCCTTCGCGCGTCTCCCCCTTCTCCCCCTTCCCCCGCCCGCCGTCCCTTCCCCCAAACACCAGGGAAAAGTCAAACGACGCAGCAGTTCCGCCTCCCCCATTCCCCGCCCCAGGCCCCCCTGCCTCCGCCTTCTTCCCCAGCACCCTTCCCCCTGCGCCCTCTCTCCCCTTCCCTCTCTCCCTCGCTTTCACACTCGCCCGCGCCTTCTCCTCCCTATCCTTCCTCCTCTCCACCCTCCCTTTCTCCTCCCTCTCCCTCTCCCTCTCCCGCTCTTCTCTCCTCTCTCTCTCCCTCTCCCTCTCCTCCTCCCTCTCTCTAGCCCTCACTTCCTCCCTCTCCCTCGCCCGCTCCTCCTCTTTCTCAATGGATCGCCGCATGAGCTCCTGCTCCTGCGCAATCCGCGCCACCAGCGCCGTCACCGCCGCCGCAGCCGCCTCCGCGCGCACCACCGCCGCCTTCGCCGCCGTCGATTCCCCCTTCCGCTGCCACCCGCCGCTCGTTCTCAACCCCGCATCTTCCTTTCCTAACGCACCATCCGAACCACCACCAGCAGCAGTAACAGCAGCGGGAGTTGTGACGTCATGCGACCAGCTGAGGTCCAGCGGTGGCGGAAGTTCCGCAGCGCGCATCCTGGCGGCATCCGGGGAGCCCTGCGCGGCTCCCTCCGCCGTCACGCGCTGCTGCATGCGCGAGAGCAGCGGCGAGTGCGCTGCTGACGATGAGGATGGCATGTGAGTGTTGCTCTCGCCGCCCCCCGCGCCCCCCGCGCCCCCCGCGCGCCCATCCTTGCTGCGCGCGACGGCGGCAGTGGCGGCGGCGGCGGCAGCTCTGGCGGCAGCAGCTGCGCCCAGTGCTGGCGACGTGAACGCAGTTGGCGCAGCCTTGGGGGAAGCGAGCGCGGAGAGTGATGCAGGCGCAGCCTTGGGGGAAGCAAACGCGGAAGATCCGGCGGCCTTTCCGCGCCACTCCAGCGCTGCTGACGGCAGCTGCGCGCGGAAGGCGGGTGATGACGTGGCGGAGGACGATTGGACGGCGGGCCGTGCGCGCGGGGACATGGGCGGGGAGGCGCAAGCGAGCAGCGCAGGCAGGGAGTCCGCCCCCTCTGCAGTGACACTGCGTTCCGACCCTTGATCACTGCAACCTCCGCTCCCACTTCCACTCCCGCTCCCGCTCCCGCTCCCGCTCCCGCTCCCGCTCCCTTCACCGCTCTTTGAATCAGCCTCACTACCACTCTCTGATTCCGCCTCACCACCGCAAATCTGCCGCTTCTTCACTTTCTCCCGCTCCCCCTCCCCGTCCCCATTCTCCCCCGCTCCGCCCTCCCCCTGCAGCATACTCTCGCATAGCGCAACCATGTCCCCCACGTCCATCCACTTGCGCGCCCCTCCGCGCTTTCCCCCCTCTCCGCTTTCATTTTCCGCCACATTCTTTCCTCCCCCCCTCGCCTCCGGAACCTCCTCCTCTATCTGCGCTGTCATCGTTTTTCCGTAGCCTGCTTGCGAATCAGCCGCCACGGCACCTCCGCCTGCGTCCCCTCCTCCGCCTGTCTGCTCGCTCCTTCGGTCGCACGTCCCTTCCGCCGGCATCAGCGCCGCCAGCTGCGCCAGCAGCACCTCCTCCTGCTCGCCGCCTCCCTCCTCTGTGCTTCTCTTCTCTCCCTCCCTCCTCTCCTCGTTCTTCACTTCCTCCTCTCCCACTTTCCCACTCTCCTCCTTTCTCTCCGTCTCGCGTTCCTCTGCTCTCACCTCCCCTGCAGCGTCCCCCTCTTCTGAAACGCAAACGAGGGACTTCTGAGCGTCAACATCGCCTTGCACCGCACTGGACCGCGCCTCATCGCTACCACTCTTGCTCTTCACCTTCACCTCTTCCCCATTCTCCCCCTGCTCTTTCCCCTCCGCCTGCTCCTTCCCCTCCCCCTCCGATTTTCCCACCTTAATCCCCACCTGCTCCCCCGCCCCTTCTTCCGCCTGCTCCCCCCCTTCCTCCGCGTCGTGCCACTCCTCACTCTCCGCCTCCTCACTCGCAGCAGCGGAGGCGGGGGGAAGGCCAATATCAGCGAATGCGGCGGCAGCAAGAGGGGCGGAAGGCAGGCCGATGGCAGCGAAGGCAGCGAGTTTGGACGGCAGCAGTTCTACCGGCATGCCGAACTGCGCGCCCTCGCTCGCCTCCTCCTCCTTCCCCGATGCTTCAGGACCGTCGCTATAGTCACATTCGGTCGGCACAAGCACCACTGAAGCGGCGGCGGCTGCGGCGGCGGGAGGATCACCAGGGGAAGCAGCAGGTGCAGCGGCGTCTGCAGCAGCGACGGGGGCAACAGCAACGGCAGCAGCCTGAGCAGACGAAGCATTGCCCACAGAATTGCGACTTCCAAGGCTTGCCGCTTCTATCGCCTTCCGACCGCCACCACCCGTAGCACCACCTGCACCACCACCCGCAGCAGCAGGCGCCAAGGACGCCGGGATTTGCGGTTCCAGCACCAGAGTTACCAGAGAAGTTACCTGTTGCTGCATCCTCAGCAGCCTCTCTCGCTCTCCGAGCCTCCCGCCTGCCGAGCCTGCTGCCGAGCCTGGGCGATTGGCGGTCGAGCCTGTCACGAGGGCCACGCCCCGCTCCAGCGCCCAGAGGACGCGGTCCACGTCAGCAGCTGCCATGTGGCGCAACGAGGCGTCGACGCACGCCATGTGCACGAGCCAGCGCGCCACGTCACGCGGCTGCGACGGGAACACGTGGCCGCTTTTGGTTGGCTGAGCGCGGATGTTCGTGTGGGAGAGCTGCTGCTGCGGTTGGCGCTGCTCGCGCTTAGAGAGGGGCAGAACGAAGGGCAGCATTACGAGCTGCAGCTGCAGCGATGCGGCGGACGACGCGGAGGAGGCGGAAGAAGCGGAAGAGGCGGAAGGGGCGGAGGAAGCGGAAGAGGCAGTATGGGCGCGGCACGGCACGATCACGGGCACCAGGTTTCCGCTTCCTCCACCGCCATCCCCCTGACCCCCCTCGCTCTCCTCCCAGCCCCCCACCCATGCGCGCTCCAGCGCTCCCGTCACGCGCTCTTCCGCTTCCTTCACCGCCTGCGCCTCCACTGAGCGAGCACTCCCCGTTTCCCCTCCGCCTGAGCTCTCCGCCCCGTCGATCTCCGCCATGCGCTCTTTGAACTTGCCGATGATTTCCTGAGATCGGACGGCTGTGATCACTCGAGCCACCACCTCCAACATCTCCGCGCCCTCGCTCTCCCACGAGCCAATAGCAGCCCTTCCCGCGCTTTTCGTGCCTGTGCCGTTAACCTTTTTTCCCCCATCCGCCGTTATCTCCGCCGGACTTTCCGTCTCCGCTCGTCCACGGCAGAGCGCCAGCCACTTCTCCGCGAGTTGCGGAGAGGACACGCCGTGATTCCCGCCGTCAGATGCGCAAACGCACGCAGCATCGCCGCGAGGAGCGGAGACTTTCCGGCAGCGGGAACAGAAGCCCATGGCGGCTTGGAGGCAGCGCAGGTCCGACAGCTTGCGCGCGAACGACAGCGCAATGCCCGAAAACGCTGCCTTCGCGCTCGCATTCCCATTCGCATTCACGTCAGTCGTCTCAGCCACGTCAGCGCGCGCCAGGGGGCAAACGTCGAGCGCAGCGGCGGAGGAGGCGAGGAGATCGAGGAGCATCTGGCGGCAGAACACGTAGAACTGCAGCAGCGGGCTCCGCTGCAGCGCCTCCCAGTCCGCGCCTTTCCCCCCCGCCGGGCGCGCGGCGGAGCGTTGCTGCGGAGCCCCCCCCGCGTGCAGCAGGCGCATTGCGACCCCCTTGTATTGCGCCGCCGATTGCGGCCAGAGGTGGACGGACGATAGCTGACACGAGAGCTCGAACACGCTGTATCCGTGAAGCTTTTTGGAAGCTTCGAGGTACGCAAGGAAGAGCGGGGAGAGCTGTAGCGCAGGCGCTCCTGCGGGTTGCGTGCGGAGGTGGTAGACTGTAGCTACTGCAGGCTTGGAAAGCTGGCTCGTTTGATTCGAGGAACCTGCCCCTCCCATGCCTGTTGCAGTGATAGAAGCAAGTGTGCTTGAGTGGAGCAGCTGCGTCATCAGATTGCTGCCTTTCGCTGCAGTCGTGACACTTGAACCCGCGGCCTTTTGTTCACCCGCAGTAGCCGACGCTTTTCCGCCATTCCCGCTAACGGCCGCTGCAGAGGAGCCCGCTCGCGCCAACGCCTGCTCTAATCCTCGCAACTGCGCAGCTTCTGTCGCAAACCGCTGCGCCGTCAATGCGCGGATCGCGGCAGCGCCTGCAACGCCAGCGCTTCCCCCATGCGCCCGTGCGCGTAAAGCTGCGCGCATTCCCCCCCCTTCAGGCTCCGAAAGAAACCCAGAATCATCCGCAGGCTGGAGGGACCTTTGAATGCGCTCTTGCGCCAGCGCCGCCGCCCATTTCTCCGCTGCGCCTAGGGTGCGCGGAGGGCCCTTAGGGGAGGCGCGTCGGGGGGAGGCGGGGCGACGGCTTCGGGGGGAGCCGTCCCGCAAGGCGCGTGGTGACGGTGTGCGCTTGTACTTAAATCGAGGGGCGTTCTTACCGGAAGCAGCTGCTGACTTCGAGCTGAGCGCAGCTCCGCTGCTCAGACCCTCAGCGGCAGCAGTGCTGATTTTAAGACTAAGCTTTCCGCTAGCGCTACTGGCATCTGCACTACCATTCGCACCACTCGTTCCACCCGTACCAGCCGTTAAATTACTTCCAACCCCACTCGTCCCGCTGCTTCGCTCCGAGCCGCTAGCCGGCCCAGGGATGCGCGAAGTGGAGGCGACGCGATCCATCGCCTCACCTGACCGCGCTCTATTCTTGTTGCAACTGCAACGGCTACTTGAGTCAGGTTGCCATACTGATGCTATGCAGCTACCGCCGGCCGCTTTCCTGTCCTAGGTCTCCGTGCCGGCCGTGTGAAGCCGATATCTACTAATGGCGTTGCTACGCGAGGCGCTAATTTCTAGCAATCTAAACGCGCATAAATTGGTCTAGTAGGAGTTTGGATAATTTCAAGATGGCATAGGGAGTGCACAAGCATTCAGTACATGTGAGACCTGTCCCAATCCAACGTGATTCAGGCTGTGTTGGGGTTTATAGAGCCAGTCAGCTCGCTCAGGAAGAACCTTCGAAGGGAGAACGAGATCGTTGACGCGGACGTGTGTTGCGGGATGGACGGCCGATGGCTGTCGCATTAGTCATTCGATCAGTCGGCCCAGCAGTGGAACTCGACCTCTGATGGTGGCGCCTAGTTGTTTTGCAGTAGCTACGCGTCGGGGCAATGAGCATGTGTGTTAGAGGGGAGGAGGGGCGCTAATGGCCTCCTGTGATTGGTCAATGGATTCGAGTCGCGGAATCCGAAGCAAATGGGGTGGGGAGATTCGCCCTTCGTTTCCCTCCGTGTCAGGCAGGGTTGAACAACGCTGGTTTGGGTGGGGCTTTTGGTGAGGTGGTGCAAGGCAGGACTGAAGGGAGAGGTACGGGAGGTGCTAGGGCACACGGCAATGGCGAATCGAGAAAGGGCATGACTGGGGGTGGAGGCTTGAGATCCCGAGTCGTGGCAATGTTACTGCGGACCGCAAATTTCTTCTCTTATAGTCACACTTGGGGGCCGGTCAATCACGGGTCGTGTGGTCACATGACCCAACCACCCCAACACATTGATTTGCGAAAACAGAACTGAACCAATCCAATAATATGTTACGCATTTGCCTGAAGTTCGTGAATGTCGTCAGCCTTAGAAAGTGACGGAGCCGCGTCAACGCTGGAGCCGGCTACCTTGTATTGAAGAGCAGCAACGGTTCGTATGTTTTTGTACGTAACCCGTTATATGATCATCTAAATTGGTACGATATGTCGTGACAATATTTCCTTTTTGGAATGTAACAAGATTGAACACTCTTTCGCAATCATTAGATGCAACATTTACTATGAAATTAGACTAAACACCATTCAAAATTAGTAATAAATATCTATAAATGCAATTTAGCACCATCTCATATTTTAGCTTCAAGAGTAGCGCATTTGTATATGTTGGTTCTATTTACCGATGTACAGATAGCTGGTTTTTGACTAAATACTGGAGCGAGTCCATACTTGTGGAGTTGTCGGCAGTCTCCAAAACGAGGTGCGACCAATTGCGATGCTTCCAGAACTCGTCAAATTACACGGTGACATGAGTCGCATGCCTTGGAACGTGGCTTTTCATCGTGTAATTTTGTCGCCGACACCACCACCCAGCCGTGAAAGCCGTCGGCTGTTCTGTAGATACGAACTTTCTAAGAAAAATAATTTCATCGTCACGACCTTTGTCAGCCTCAGATCCCCATTCGCAATTTTCGTGCGCTCACCACCCCTCTCGCATGCCACGCGTGAAGCGCTTCGTCAGCTCACTAGCCTATTGCCTGCCGGTCTCCGCCCCTCCCCAACAGTCCGCACCGAGAGCGCCACACCGACACGGAGAACGCGCGCAACCGAAATGTGAAACCCAACATGCGGCTCGGCAATTTCTCGCACATTCAAAAACAAATGCGCGCTGCATTCATCCCTTCAAACACTTGTCGCTGTCAGTTCATATCGTGACTTCCCCACTCGAACTTCAAAATTCAGCTTACGCCTCCACAACAGAACCACACTTCTGCTTTCGAAGTGACCTCCGTTTTCCCTGGCCGAAACTCTCGTGCACTTCCCGATGGCTGCTCCAACTAAAAAGCCTCGGCCTAGCCTTTCTCTACTGTTACTCACGACCGCCCTAGCAGCAACCACCCTCGCCTTAGCCACCACAGCCGCAGCAGCCGGCGACAGTCTCGCGTTCTGCAAGCAGTACCCCGCGCGCAACCCGAGCAAGTGCCCCGCCGTGCAGCCAATCAGCAGCCTGAACGTGGCGCGGCTCAAGGGGCGGTGGTACGAGGTGGCGGCGTCCGCGGCGCACAAGTACACGGCGGAGCTCGGCGCGGCGTGCACCGCCTTCGAGTTCGAAGCCGCGCCCAAGCAGAACGGCCTCAACGCCATGCGGTATGCAATTTGCGTCCGTGTTCCTCGGTCGTCCCACCTTCATGCATGGCAAACCCTTCCATTCCCCAAACACAGTCGTCCTCTTCCTTTCCCCCACTTCTTCCAGACTCTTCTGTCCCCTTTCCCTCTCCTTACTCTTCACCACTCCCCTTGCCCGTTCCCTATCCCTCTCCACTTCCCATCTCACCTTCCCTTCTCCCATCACACTTTCCCCACCGGCATGTCCGCAGCGTCACGCGGCGAGTCGTCGAGGCGGTGGGTCCCGTACGCGCAGCGCAGGTCGGCACCATCGCCTCCGCCTCCCTCCGGTCGGCGCGCAACCTGCGCGGAGTGTGCTCCGCCATTGCCGGCCAGAAACTCCCCACGGAGCTCTCGTACGCGTCGCTCGTCGACCAGGCGAAACTCGGCCTGCCGGCCGCCGGGTTGGACGGCAAAACTGCCGGCCAGACGACCACCAGCCTCTCCGCCATCTCCGCGGCGCTAGGCCAGATCTCCGCGCAAGCCGGCGCGATTAACGCGCGGCTCGAGCGCATCCAGACGGATCTCGCGCCGGTGAATCAGGTCGACCGGGTGCCAAGTCTCAGCGCGCTGCGTAACAGGATCGGGAATACAACGGAGGCGATCCGACGGTCGGTGCATGCGATCCAACGGTCGAGAGGGATGATCTTGAAGCAGGCCGAACAGATGCGCCTAGGCGTTATGAACGTGCAGGCGACTTCTGCGTCCAAGAAGAACCGACTCCAGGTACCACCTCCCCCACCCCTTCCCTCCCCCCCATGTGCACTGCTAAATCTCTACCTTGTGCTACACTTACCCCTCATCGCTGCTAATCCCACACCTTTTCGTCTCCTCTCCAACTCCCCTTCTCCATTCCTCCCCTTTTTCAGCTACTGAACGCCACGCTGGCCCTGCAGCGCCAGGCGTCTGCTGTGGGCACGCTAGCCGTGTCCGCCGCCACTCACACCCCCCTTCTCTTCGTGCCCTCGCCCATCCCTCCCCCCAGCTTCTAAACGCCACGCTGGCCCTGCAGCGCCAGGCATCCGCTGTGGGTACTCTAGCCGTGTCCGCAGCCAAGATCGGCCTCCTCTCCTCCCTCGCCACTCCCGCCGCCGCCACGCTGTTCGAGTCGCCTGTCAACCTCACCCAGGCTGTGAGCGTGCGAGGCACACTGGTGCAGGGGAAGCAGGGCGACGGCAGCGTGGCTATGAAGTTTGGGGACAGTGCTGCTGTGAGATACTCGGTCGTGCACGCGACGCCTGGTTTTGATTTGGTTGTGCTGTACGGGTGCTCTGCCGCCAACCGAGCGAAGCTTGCAGCCACAGAAGGACAGGTGAGGTTCAGTATACAATGTTTCCTGCCACTCACCATCATCTGTAACCCCTTGCTCACCAACCTCCCCTTGCTCACGAATCTCCCCTGGCTCACTAATCCCCTGGCTACGTTTCTTTCCTACTCCCCCTGCAGGCCAAGGTGTTGGTGCTGGCGAGGCAGCGAACAGTGTCGGCCAGTGAGCTCTCATCTGTGGAGGCAGCACTGCAGGCCAAGGGTGTCGTGCTGGGTGGCGCCAACGTGCTGGTTACCACCGACCAGTCCTGCCCCTAGCCCCTAGCCCTCTGGAAATACCTCTGGTTTCCTCTCTGCTGGTTTCCTCGCGCTGAGGGCCAATAGAAATACAGAGGTTGACTTGACATGGTACCATACGTGTGAGTGGTGTGTAGTAGACTACTGAACCTAGTTAGTTCTAACAGATACTTATAGCGGGGATGAGGTCGTTCTGGCGTAGAGATATGTACCAGGTCTCCAGGTGGTAGCTACGGTACCAGAAACTCAAGCTTTAGTAGCACCTTATTTCAGAAGAACTAGGCAAGAATGAGTGCATTGAATGGAAGAATTGGATATAAGTAGCAAACCCTAGTTGGGGTTGTACCCCATATTGGCTACCCCACTACAGCCTACCAACATAATACAGTTTAACACACCCCCATAGGCAAAGTGGGGGAGAACAAAGGGTCACAAGACCAGTCCAGCAAAGCAAAGCAAAGCCCAGGGTGGATCACAACGTCACCACACTCCGAGCACAAGCAAAGGCCACAAGGCCAGTTCACATGCAGTGCTAGATATAGAACAGGACAAGCAGCAAGATATATATAAAGTACAGTACAAAGAAAGTCAAGCAGTAAGCAAATGAGGAAACGTGGACACAAGGCCTAAAGAAGTACAGTGCCGCTGATGATCACTAGGCGGGAGCGCCTTGGTGAAGATATCAGCAGTATTGGCCTTCGAGTCCACGTACACAAGCCGAAGCTGACCGCGCTGCTGAAGCTCTCGAGCAAGAAAGTAGCGAAGAGCAATGTGCTTCGTCCTGTGCTCCAGTCTGTGCTCCTGACACAAGGCAAGGGCCGCCTTGTTGTCACCGTACAGAACTGGAGGAGAACTAGGCCGCTCTCCCAAGTCAGTCAGCAGGTAGGTGAGCCAGCGTAACTCCTGTGCAGCCATGGCTGTGGCGTAGATCTCAGCCTCACAACTAGAGCCGAGAACAGAAGAAGAGCGGGTGGACTGCCACGAGACAGAACCAGAGCCAAGGCTGAAGGTGTAACCCTGTGACGACCGCTGAGTAGCCAGGTCGTCCACCCAAGAAGCGTCCGAGTGACCAGTGAGGACAACTCTGTCGCGTCCTCCAAGCACCAGCCCCATGCCTGATGTACTGCACAAGTAACGCAGCACCCTCTTAGCAGCCTCCCAGTGCTCTCGCCTGTGTCTCCCAGGCGCAACGTAACGAGCAAGGATGCTAAGTGGGTACGCGAGGTCAGGTCGCGTGCAAGTCATCAGGTACATGAGGCAGCCTACAAGCTCTGGGTACGGGCCACTCGGCTCTACGGACTCGTCCGAAGGTGGAGCTGAGAGCGAGTGGCTGGTAGCCAGAGGTGTGGCCTGTGGTGAGGAGAACTGGAAGCCGAAGTGCTGAAGGACCTGCTGCACCATGTGTGACTGAGTCAGGGTGATGGTGCGGCGAGCTCTGTCCCGGGTGATCTGCAAGCCAAGGTAGCTACGCAGTTCACCCAGGTCAGTGCAGGTGTGTCTCTTCTGCAGCTCCGACTTCACACGAGCGAGTGCCTCTGTGTCAGCAGTAGCAAAGACCAAGTCGTCGACGTACACGAGAATGTAGAACGGCGGTAGCGACGTGTCTGTGCGTAGAAACAGCGACGGGTCAGCAGTAGACGGCGCGAACCCAAGAGCTGCAAGTGTAGTCCTCAGTGTGTCGTGCCACTCACGTGGCGCCTGGCGGAGACCGTAGACTGGCCGGCGGAGGCTCCACTGGGTACCAGGAGGAAACGACCCAGTGAAGCCAGGTGGGCGGCGCAGCCAGATCTCCTCGTGCAGGCTGCCCTGCAGGAACGCTGTGCTGAAGTCAAGAGAGTGAAGCTCGTAGTCACGCTGAGCAGCAACGTGTAGCAGAACCCGAAGAGTGGTCATCTTCGGGGTGGGGGAGAAGGTCTGGAAGAAGTCAACCCCCTGACGCTGACTGAAGCCTCTAGCAACGTAACGAGCCTTGAAGACAGGTGGAGAACCTGGCGGCCGCTTCACCCTGAAAATCCACATGCCATCGACGATGTTCGCCCCAGGAGGGGGAACCTCGTCGACGTAGGTGCCTGTGGACTTCCAGGATGCCATCTCTGCGTCCATGGCTGTCTGCCACTGAGAGGAGTAGGGACCCGAGATCGCCTCTGCGTAAGAGCGCGGAGTGGGGATGTCTAGTGCATCCGGGTCTCCCTCAGGGGCAAGCAACCAGGCCACGAGATGAGGTACAGCAGCCGCAAGAGAGTCAAAGTCCTCCTGCCTGTCCTCAAGGACGTCCGTGCCAAGAGCACACTCACCCCCGACGGACGGAGGACAGGCAGACTCAGACTCAGTAACAAGACTGGCGGCGTAGTCTAGACGACAGGCAGCAGCAAAGTCGACAAGCTCAGCGACCAGGGCAGACGCAGCAGCAGACTCAAACGACGGGTCAGTGACAACAGTGGCGAGAAGACGCGTAACAGTAGGGTGGGCAGCACGAACACTGTCAGACTCAGGGTCGGGAACGACAGGAAGAGAAGACGCAGGAGGAGACGGTAGGGGGACACGCTGTGGACCAGTGGAAGGACGAAGGGCCATAATATGCGTGCCAGGAACAGGAGGAGGACGCGGACGCGCGACACGACGACCAGTGGGACCAGTGCGCGCAGTGCGAGCAGCGCGAGCAGCGCGAACAGGCGAGGCAGGACGAGACGCAGGCTCACGACGCTCCGTAAGCGAGTCCGGCTGCGCAGTGTAAGGCACAGGAGCAGGGAGGGGGGAGCCAGGCTGAAGGGGAAGGCCAGTGGAAGACGGGAGGGAAAGAACCTGGCGAAGCACCGTGTCAGGCGGCGGCAAAGCCGACGGCGACGGAGGAGCGAAGAACAGGCGCGACGGCGGAGCTCCGCCAGTACCTCCAGCACCCGGAGCACCAGAAGCACCTGGACCAGCACCCTCCGCCGCAGCACCCCCCGAGTCGGCGACGTCAGCACCAGAGGCCCCAGCAGCGTCAGACCTCCCCTCGCCAGCACCTCCAGAACCAGCAGGACCACCGTGTCCAGAACCGTCAGCTCCAGCGTCGTCAGCTCCAGCAGCTCCAGTACCGTCAGGAAGAGCACCCCCAGACGCAGCAACCCCAGGCTCCGTAGGCTCAGTAGCAGTACCCCCAGGCTCAGTACCCTCAGGCGCAGTACCCCCAGGCTCGGCACCCCCAGACTCCGTACACGCAGGCTCAGCACCCCCAGTCGTAGCACCCCCAGGCTCAGCACCCCCAGGCGCCGAACTCCCAGGCACAGTACCCTCAGCTCCAGCACCTGCAGTCCCAGCACTCCCAGGCCCAGCACCCGCAGGCTCAGCACCCGCAGGCTCAGCACTCCCAGCAGCACCACCTGCAGCAGCACCTGAGTCACCTGTGACCTCGACAGGCTCAGCGACGGGAGGAGGGTCTACCTGAGAGACACCTGAAGGAGCAGGACCCTGAGGGGGAAGGGGGTCTACCGGAGGGGGACCAGGAGCAAGGAAAAGTGGCGGGGGAGGGAGGGGGGCAGTGCGGTAGGGGAAGAGACGGTAAAAAGGGACCGACTCGTCAAAGGTGACGTCCTGAGAGGCGAAGACCCGGCGCGAGGTGGGGTGGTAAAACTGCCAGCCCGGCGCGTCAGGGACAAAGCCAAGGAAGACACAGGGAAGCGTGCGGGAGGAGAGCTTGTCCGCGGACGTATCGCGGACAAGGGCACGAGCACCCCACACCCGGAAGCGCGACGCATCACCAACCTCCCCCGTCCAACGCAGTGTGGGCGAGGTCTCCGGCAAGGAGACACGGGGCTAGAGGTTGAGCTGATGTGCGGCGTACCGGACAGCAAACGGCCACAGAAAATGGGGAGCCGCCGCGTGGACCAAGGAGGTACGAGCGACCTCCATGACCAGGCCAATGCGGCGCTCAGCAACCCCATTCTGCTGTGGGGAGTCCGGAAGCGTGAAGGTCTGCTCGATGCCCTCCGCCTGACAGAAGGTCCTCAAGAGATCGGAGGAAAACTCACCACCTCTGTCAGAGTGCAGACGCAGGACAGGAAGATCCGTCCGGAAACGGCGGCGGAGCTGGAGACGAACTGTGCGGATCCAAGGGATCAGAACAGCAGGGACCTCACCCTTGGTGCGCAAGGGGAAGACCGTGGTGTAACGCGAGTAGTCGTCGACAACCAGCAAAAAGTACCGCTCACCGCCCTGGCCACGAACGCGGGCTGGGCCCCACACATCCAGGTGGAGGGTCTGCAGAGGAGCCTCTGTCGGGGGGAACGAGGAGGAGTGAGGAGCGGCGCGCTGCCGCCCCTCGACGCAAGGAAGGCAAGGCGGCGCAGGCGAGGCAGGGAGGGGAGGGAGGGACCTGGGAAGACCAGACACAAGGCAGCGACGGTGCATGCCACGGAGGCGTGGCAAGGAGGGGTGACCCAGGCGGTGGTGCCAGAGAAGAGTCTGGTGCGACAGGGAACGACACTCACAGGCGTGGGCCACCAGACCTGACGCGGACACCTGACCGACAGCAGCAACCTGAGGAGACGCAGTGGTCAGTGTGTAGAGACTCGACCCCGGCCGACGGGTAAACGTAGCCAGGTGACGGCCGGTCCTGGAGCACGTGCAGATCGCCACACGCTGTCCTCCAGGGGTAAAGGTGTCAACCCACTGATCCTGGATGACAGCGTTGCTCACCAGGTTCGTCGAGAACGAGGGGAGGTGGAAACCCGACAACGAGCCAGACGGAACCGCCGGACAAGGGAGCACAGTGGTGGACTGGGCAAGGACTGGGCCCCCAGAGGGGTCAGCCAAGGAGACTGGGACCGGTGCAGGAAGCGGTGTGAGCTCAGTACTGTCACGAAAGAAACAGCGAGAAGCACCTGAGTCAAGGGTGAAGGTGTGACAGGCCTCAGCCGGTGCGGTACCTGAGAGAGCAGTCTCTGTGGGTGCTGTACCTGAGAGAGCAGACTCGCAAACAGCCGGGACAGCACTGGAGGGAGCAAGTACAGGGGGCACCATACCGGAGAGAGCAGACTCACTAGTACCCAGGGCAGCGGGCTCTATACCTGGGTCAGGCGGCACACACAAGTAACAGTCTCCCTCGGCACTAACAGTCAATGCATACATGGCAGCAATAATAGCATCATAGTCAAGAGCAAAGATATCAACACCAGCCCTCATGAGCTCAGCCCAGCGGGGGCGCTCAACATCCTCGCCCATCTCCTCACGCCAAGCGTCGTCAAGGCGGGAGAAGCAGCGGTACGGGGTGTGGAACCTCCCACACGTCTGTCCCTTGCGGTCACCTGTGCGAATGACATAGGAACAGCGGCCATTGCCCCCCGACGTCCCACGCTGAGCAAGCCACTCACGAAGCTGCTGGGTCGTCTGGGGACGCTGCTGCTGCTGGGAGCTCTGGCCCGAGCCAGTGCCTCCACTCCGACCTCCGCCACCACCACTACCTCCGCTCCGACCGCCACCGCCGCCGCCGCCACCGCCGCCACCGCCGCCGCCGCCACCACCGCCACCGCTCCCTCCGCCGCCCCCGCCTCCGCTGCCGACCCCACTCCCACCAGCACTCCCGCCACCGCTCCCTCCAGCACCGCCTCCCCCCCCACCTCCCCCACCTCCTCCCCCCCCAGCGCCACCCCCGCCACCCTTGCCCCCCTTGCCCTTGCCGGTGCGGCGCCTCCCACCAGGAGCAGAAGCAGCGCCAGCAGACTCAGCACCAAGGAAGTCAACAGCAGCAGCAGTAGCGTAGGAGGGAGCGAGGGGAGAGGGAGAACACCCCTCAAAGATGGGGGTGCGAGGAGCGCCACGAGCAGCACCGACAGCTACAATGCTCTTTTCGGCCGCTAGCAGCTGCTCCTCTAGGAGGGCGACTGTGAGCTCAGTGGGACAGCGAGCAAGGAAGTGGTCTCGAACTGAGCTGAGGGTGTCAGGGAGTCGGGTGACTATGAAGTGGAGTGTCCAGTACAGTGGAGGGGGGTTCTTAGCGCAGAACTCGGTGGGAAGGGCAGCACGCAGGCGAGCATCACTAGTGCGAAGGTGGGTGATAAGATCGGCGACTGTAGCAAAGGTGGACAGCTCAGGGAACAGGTACGGCAGCATGAGGCGGCTAAGCTCGGCTGTGGCAGGCGAGGAGTAGCGAGCAACGACAGCATCGTACAGGGCCTTAGCGGATTTGCAGTCGCCAAAATGCTCGAGCTCAGCTAGCGGGAGGTGACTGCGAATGGCTAGGCGAGCAGCAGCGTCACGAGTCTGCCAGTGGGAACGAACACTAAGCTCAAATGTGGCAGGAGGGGCAGGTGCAGCACCAGACGCGTAATCATAGAGCGACACATGCTCCTTGCTATCGCTCAGAAGGAACAGCTGCAGGTCATCTAGCCAAGTGGTGAACTGCACAGGGCGGCCCTCAGCATCGAACGACAGCACGCGGATGGAAGCCATAGTAACAGTGCGACTGAGTAAGGAAGCTGCCGCAGCGCTGCAGGTAGGTAGCTCGGCGGGAAGCGCGGCGGGCGGGCGACTCGGCGAGCGGGCAGTGCGGGGGGCGGGCTACGAAGCGGGCAGCGCGGCGGGCAGGCGGCGCTGCAGGCGGGAAGTGCGGCGGGCGGGCTGCGAAGCGGGCAGCGGGGCGGGCGGGCGACGCGGCGAGCGGGCAGCGCGGCGGGCGGGCTGCGAAGCGGGCAGCGGGCGGGCGGGCGACGCTGCAAGCGGGCAGCGGGCGGGCGGGCGACGCTGCGAGCGGGCAGCGGGCGGGCGGGCGACGCTGCAAGCGGGCAGCGGGCGGGCGGGCGACGCTGCGAGCGGGCAGCGCGGCGGGCGGGCTGCGAAGCGGGCAGCGGGCGGGCGACGCTGCAAGCGGGCAGCGAGGCGGGCGGGCGACGCTGCGAGCGGGCAGCGCGGCGGGCGGGCTGCGAAGCGGGCAGCGGGCGGGCGGGCGACGCTGCAAGCGGGCAGCGAGGCGGGCGGGCGACGCTGCGAGCGGGCAGCACGGCGGGCGGGCGACGCTGCGAAGCGGGCAGCGGGCGGGCGGGCGACGCTGCGAGCGGGCGGCTCGGCGGGCGGGCGACGCTGCGAGGGGCGCGCGAGGGCGCTAACGAGAGGCGCACGAGGGCGCTAACAAGGGCGCGCGAGGGCGCTAGCGAGGGCGCGCGAGGGCGCTAACGAGAGGCGCACGAGGGCGCTAACGAGGGCGCACGAGGGCGCTACGAGGCTAGGGCACGGGGTAGCGTGGTAACCGCATGCGAGCGGTGGTGGGCCCTTAAAAAAAAACGGTCGGTAGGTCCTAGGGACCTCCTGCTCTGAATACCATTTCAGAAGAACTAGGCAAGAATGAGTGCATTGAATGGAAGAATTGGGTACAAGTAGCAAACCCTAGTTGGGGTTGTACCCCATATTGGCTACCCTACTACAGCCTACCAACATAATACAGTTTAACACCTTATGGCGGCCCTGGGACAGGACTTAGGAGACAGAATCACCAGGCGGGAAAAAATGCCATTCGTAACCATCATGGGAGTCGAAAGCATATTTGGTAAAAAAATAAAGGGTACGGTCACTGCAAAGGGTGTTTTCACGCGACTGATAAAGAGTTTCACGGAATCAGTCACAATCAACTGGTAAAAAAAAACGCGAATGGTCACAGATGAAACTCCAGCCAAAACAAAACGAAACCCAAAAAGAACCTGGATGCTTTTTCGGAGTATCAACCCTAAACACCATTTCGCCAGGTGTTTAGGGTTGATCTATTCCCAAACCGCATCCGATTCCGATTGGGTTTTAGTTTTTTTACAAGTTCGCAGATTGGTTGGGGGCGAGCGGGAATTTTGTTGAGTTTCAAGTTTTTTTGGCGGGAGTTACATGTGTGACCATTCGCGTGATTTTTTGCCTGTTGTTTTTTTAGACTGAATCCGTGACCCCGCTTACCAAACCCGTCAGGAAACCCGATACCGTCAGCCCCCGGATAGAAGCGCCCCTGGGGGTATAAAAAAACACTGTTTTTTAGGGGGTGCGCTTATAATTGAGGAATTTTATAAGAGCCGGCGCTTATAAAATGGCAAAGCAAGTTTATATTTGTTTTACACCAATCTGTACACCTTGTTCTGCCAATTGTAATCGAGTTTTCTTTTTATCATTTACGTTATCGAGTCCCGAGTTGGTTACTTGTGACATATTTTCCCTCACCAGGCCACATGTTATGTGATTCTTTTTTGCATGTGGAGCTGCTCTCTATGTATCTTTTTGCCTGTGGTGTGGAGCACTGCTGCCTGGTGCGCAGAGTGTTCCTGCACCTGTAGTTGGAACGACAGGAAGTTTGGCCAAACCAACTTCATTCCATGGCTGCTGTGCCACCAAGATTTGTCTGGCACTGTGCACATGTGATTGTGTGCAGGCGGCCACATGTTGCACACGTCAATTACAGTCACTACTACCAGTAATAACTGGAGCTTTGCCCAATAACTTGTACTGTCAAGCATCGTACTAGCATCCCTATAGACTAGAACCACAAGCCACCCTCGCTCAGAAACCGAATTCTCAGAAGCAACCATTCGCTGCCTTGGTCAGGTTCCCGAAACCAACATCCAGCCCCTGTCCCTAAAGCACAGCACACCCTTTCAGTGACTCACTGCCGCAGCAGCGGCGGTGGCAGCAGCAGCAGCAATAGCCTCTTCGCTCCCAGCCACATAATAATCCTGCAGCGCCTTCATCTCAATGGGCGACTCAATCAGCCCGCGAATCGCCTTGACGGTGGCGCGAGCAGAGGCCATGGTGGTGATGATGGGCACCTTCTTGCCCAGCGCTGTGCGCCGCAGCAGCCGCCCGTCCTTCTGGTCCAGGGCGTCCCCCGCTGAGGTGATCACTAGAAGCTGAATCTGCCCGTTGGACACCAGATCGCCTGGTGAGATGAAGAGGAGAGGGAGCGAGAGAGAGAGGGGATGAAGTGGATTGCCCTCTCGACAGTAGCTGAGGCAATCAGTAGGCCAGGAGGGCATAAAAGGCAAAGAAAACGATAGCCGGTTCAACATATCCCAAAGCTGAGGCACTCACCAGCACGGGGGCGGCCCTCATGCAGCTTGAGAACCCGCTCCACCTCGATCCCTCCATCCTCTCAGCACGTTAGCAGTGCCCTCAGTGGCCAGTATCTTGAACCCCAGCTCCACAAAGCTCACTCATACCTACCTCCATGTCACACAATCAAGGTCACTAACTCACCAGCGTGGGGACGCCCTTCATGCAGCTTCAGCACCCGCTCCACCTCAATCCCTCCATCCTCCAGCACATTCGCCGTGCCCTCCGTCGCCAGAATCTTGAACCCCAGATCCACAAAGCTCTTCGCCACCTCCACGCCACTCTCCTTGGTCAGATCGTTCAAGCTCACAAACACCGACCCGCCAGTTGGCAGCCGCTGATTCGCCGCCACCTGCGCCTTCAAAAACGCCTTCTCAAACGTCGCGTCGAGACCCATAACCTCCCCGGTAGACCGCATCTCCGGCCCCAGCAGCACGTCACAGCCAGGGAACTTGTCAAACGGCAGAACCGCCTCCTTCACTGACACGTGGTTCGGGATAACCTCCTTGTCGAATCCAAGCTCATGGAGGGTTTTGCCGGCCATGATGAGGGATGCGTACTTGGCGAGGGGGTGGCCGATGGCCTTGGCCACGAAGGGCACCGTGCGGGAGGCACGTGGGTTGGCTTCTATGATGTAAACTTCTCCAGTGGGCATCACTGCGTACTGGCAGTTCATCAAGCCTACGACATTCAGCCTGTAAGGAGGGAAGAGGTCGGCAGTGGAAGGGGAGCGAAAGGGAGTAGGAGGAATTGAGATCATGGAGTGGGGCAGGGAGAAGAGCCATGGTTGGCTGGACCTACGCGTCGATTCAGACGTCAGCCAGTCACTGGCGGCGTTATAAGTGCGGCTTGATGGCCAGTCAAGCCACATGAGTCGGCGAGGCACTGACAGCTCACCCCCCTAGACTACAACCACTTTCCCTTGTTTCCACCATGCATCCAACTCACTTGCGAGCCAGCCGAGTGGTCCAGTCGCGGATGGTGGCAAGAGCGTCGTCGGAGATGGACTGGGTGGGCAGGGAGCACGCTGAGTCGCCCGAGTGCACGCCCGCCTGCTCTATGTGCTCCATGATGCCGCCTATCGTCACTGCGCCCGTGCTATCGGCGAGACAGTCAACGTCCAGCTCAGTGGCGTTCTGAACGACGGAAGCAAGGGAGCATAGGCAGAAGAGTGGGGTGAGATCGGGGAGGGGAGTGGATGGAGGACGGGGAAGGGCATGGAGAGAGAGGCACAAGGCCCATTCTGACGGCGTCACATCACTCACCGCAAGGTATTTGTCAACGAGAACAGGCCTCTCAGGGTCGACCTCAACAGCCGTCACCAAATACTTCTGCAGCGCCTCATCGTTATACACGATCTCCATAGCGCGCCCGCCCAGCACATACGACGGCCGCACCACCACCGGGTACCCCACGCGCTTCGCCACAGCCAGCGCATCCTCCTCGCTCCGTGCAATCCCCCCGGGCGGCTGGTTGATGCCCAACTCGTTCAGCATCGCCTCAAACCGCTTCCTATCCTCCGCCGCGTCAATCGAATCCGGCGACGTGCCCCAGATGCGCACCGGCCCGCTCCCGCTGGCCGCCTGCAGCTGCGTCTTCTCGAGGTACTTCTGGATGGGCACGGCCAGCTTCAGCGGGGTCTGCCCTCCGAACTGCACGATGATCCCATCGGGGCGCTCCAGGTTGATCACGTTGATCACATCTTCAACGGTCAGCGGCTCAAAGTAGAGTCGGTTGGAGGTGTCGTAATCAGTGGAGACGGTTTCCGGGTTGCTGTTCATCATGATTGTTTCGAACCCCGCAGCCTGCAGCGCGAACGACGCATGGCAGCAGCAGTAGTCAAACTCAATCCCCTGCCCGATGCGGTTCGGCCCACCGCCAAGAATCAGCACCTTGCGCTCTGCATCCGGCTGGCCCTCATTCTCCTCATCATACGACGAGTACTGGTACGGCGTCATGGCTTCAAACTCCGCCGCGCACGTGTCCACGCGCTTGAACGCCGGCACCACGCCCAGCTCCAACCTATAACTCCTCACCTCCTCCTCCGTCGTCTTCAGCGCGAACGCAATCTGCCGATCACTATACCCTCGGCGCTTGATCTGCTGCATATCCTCCTTGGTGAGCGCGCGCAGGTTCCCATCCAGCTTCCCCATAAAATCCTCCACTTCCAACAACTCCCCCATCTGTGAGAGATACCACGGGTCCATGCTGGTGAGCTGCTGCACCTGCCGCTGGCTCATGCCGCGCTTCATGGCGGCGTAGATGGCGTACATGCGGTCGGGGTTGGGCACGCGCATGGAGTATTTCAGGTCGTCCAGCGACCACTCCAGCTGCTTCACCGGCTCGCACCCCCACCCCCAGTGGCCCGTTTCGAGCGAGCGCAGGGCCTTCTGGAAGCTTTCCTGAAAGGTGCGGCCGATGGCCATGGCTTCTCCGACGGACTTCATTTGGGTGGTGAGCGTTGGCTCGGAACCTGGGAACTTCTCAAAGGCGAAACGCGGGATCTGCACGTGGCAGGGGGTTGCACGTGGTCGTGGTTGGTGGTGTGGGTGGGAGGGAAGGGGGAGGGGGGGAGGGAAAAACGGGAAAAGGGAAAAGTGAGGAGAGAGGGAGAGGGGGGGGGAGGGGAGAGGGGGGGAGGGGGGGGGGGTTGGGGGGGGGGGGGGGAAGGTGAGGGGAGAGCCACGGGCCATGCGAACGCGGAGGGGCACGAGTCTGTTATTGAGGCACTGCAAGAACGTCACTCACCTTGGTCACCACGTAGTCAATGGAAGGCTCAAAGCTGGCAGGCGTCTTCTTGGTGATATCATTAGGGATGCGATCGAGCGTGTACCCCACGCTGATATCATTAGGGATGCGATCGAGCGTGTACCCCACGCTGATATCATTAGGGATGCGATCGAGCGTGTACCCCACGCTGAGCTTGGCCGCCATCTTGGCGATGGGGAAGCCCGTGGCCTTGGAGGCGAGCGCGGAGGAAGAGACAAGAGACCAGAGCAGGGGGCAGCGAAAACAGAGGATGATGGAATTCAACAAGGGGTGCTCACCTTGGTGACGACATAGTCGATCGACGGCTCGAAACTAGCCGGAGTCTTCTTGGTGATGTCATTCGGAATCCGATCAAGTGTGTACCCGACGCTCAGCTTAGCCGCCATCTTGGCAATAGGAAAGCCTGTGGCCTTGGACGCCAGCGCGGAGGAGCGGGACACACGCGGGTTCATCTCAATGACGACCACCTCGCCGTCCTTGGGGTTGATGGCGAACTGCACGTTGGAACCCCCGCACTCCACCCCTATCTCGCGGATGATGGCGACCGAGTAGTCACGCAGACGCTGCGGGAGGGTGAAGGAAAGGAGGGGAGAGGGAGGAAAGAGAGGTGGATGGAATTAGGAAAGGGGGGGGAAGGGTTACCAGGAGCTCGAGATCCTGTGTTGGGATTTGTTCTCTTTACCCACACCATCCCACAGCACTCTTGAAATCCGCTGAGCGGATTTGAACCCTGAAACCAGAATCTAAACCCTCGCCTCCCCCCTGAACAAACCCTTGAAATTCGCTGAGCTAAACCCGGTGTGCACTGCACGCCCGTGGGGTCGATGCTCTTCATCGAGCAGAGATGATCACTACGTTGTCCGTCCGCCAGGTCCCTCCAACCCTCCACATGGACACGCCTTGCCCCTGCCCTGACTGGTATTTTCTCCTGCCCCTCCTGCTACCCTCCTCATGAACACGCCTCTTGACTGCCCTGACTGACTCACCTGGTACTCCTTGTCAGTCAAGGTCTGTGCGGGCGCGACAGTAATAGAATCGCCGGTGTGCACGCCCATGGGGTCGATGTTTTCAATGGAGCAGATGATCACCACGTTGCCCGCCCGCCGAGCCCCTCCCTGACACCCCTTGCCCCTGCCCTGCCTGCTAACCCTTCCTGTGCCCCTCACCTGGTACTCCTTATCAGTGAGCGTCTGAGCGGGCGCGACGGTAATAGAATCGCCAGTGTGCACGCCCATGGGGTCGATGTTTTCAATGGAGCAGATGATCACCACGTTGTCCGCCAGGTCGCGCATCACCTCCAGCTCGTACTCCTTCCACCCCAGCAACGACTTGTCGATCAGCACCTGTGCCATCGAGGCAAGAGAGAGACAGTGTCAGTGAACCTATGAGGATGCGGTAGGAGAAGGATGAGCACTTACGAGGGTGCAGTGCAAGGGTATGTGCGCCCGTCAGCATAGCTAGCAGTCAGACAGAGGGGCACGCACGGCTTGTTGCACAGGGGCACACACACGGCTGAAGTATTGCTCCATTTACCCCTGACGTGGCACCAGCTCCCAGTCTGACCTGTGACGTGGCACTGACCCGCCAAGTGGCACGGACCTGTGACGTGGCGCTGGCGCTGAGCCCGGCCTTGCAGATGGTTTCAAACTCCTCCTCGTTGTACGCGATGCCGCCTCCCGACCCTCCCAGCGTGAAGGCCGGGCGGATGATCATCGGGTAGTCGCCAATGTACTTGGCGATCTCGAAACACTCCTGCGCGCGGAGGGAGGGGGGAAGGGGGGGGGGGGGAGAGACGGTTATAAGTTGACGCCGGGCGGATGATCATCGGGTAGTCGCCAATGTACCGCGCGATCTCGAAACACTCCTACGCGCGGAGGGAGGGGGGAAGGGGGGGGGAGGGAGAGACGGTTATAAGTTGACGCCGGGCGGATGATCATCGGGTAGTCGCCAATGTACCGCGCGATCTCGAAACACTCCTACGCGCGGAGGGAGTGGGGAAGGGGGGGGGGGGAGAGACGGTTATAAGTTGACGCCGGGCGGATGATCATCGGGTAGTCGCCAATGTACTTGGCGATCTCGAAACACTCCTGGTCGCGGAGGGAGGGGGGGAGGGGGCCCGGGTGAAAGGGGGGTAGGGGAGAGACGGTACGGTTGTAAGTTGACGCCGGGCGGATGATCATCGGGTAGTCGCCAATGTACCGCGCGATCTCGAAACAATCCTGCTCGCGGAAGGAGGGTTGTGGTGGGGCGGGGGAAGGGAGGGTGGGGAAGAGATGTTTTTGAGTTGGCGCAGAAAGCACTGAAGTCGCAAGCATACTGCACGCTCCCGGCATTTCAAACGCCACTATACCCCACACTGCACCGCGCCGGCTGTGCCTCTCTCACACCCACCTGCAGCGTGTTCGCCGTGCCCGACTTGGGGCTCTTGATCCAAGCTTATCCATGGCGCGTTTGAACAGGTCGCGGTCCTTCACCTTGTCGATCGCCTCTACCACCACCACCAACTCTCACCACCTCCCACCCACCAGCACCGCTTCACACCGACCTGCACCGCTTCGCACCCACCTGGAGCGTGTTGGCAGTCCCGGATTTCGGGCTCTTGATGCCGAGTTTGTCCATGGCGCGTTTGAAGAGGTCGCGGTCCTCCGCCTTGTTGATGGCGTCCAGCTTCGCGCCGATCAGCTCCACGCCGTACTTATCGAGAGTGCCGCGCTCCGACAGCGCCACCGCCAGGTTCAGCGCCGTCTGCCCGCCCATCGTCGGCAGCAGCGCGTCGGGACGCTCGTTCGCGATCACCTGGTGGCGGGGGTGGGAGTGGTCGGGTCACAGGGAGATCGGAGGCGGGGGATTGGATGGGGAGCGTGCACGCGCGCAGTCACATAAGCGGCGGAAATCAAGAGAGGAACGGAGAGCGGGGGAGAGGGGAACGACGGGATCCAGATGATGGGGTTAAAGGCACGGATATGCGAGCTAGAGTCAGCGCAAGTACCTGCTCGACGAGTTCGGGCGTCATGGGAGCGACGTAGGTGCGGTCGGCGGTGCCGGGGTCGGTCATGATGGTGGCGGGGTTGGAGTTGATCAGTATCACCTCGTACCCCTCCTCCTTCAGCGCCTTGCACGCCTGAAATCGCGGGGACCACGCACGCACAAACGCACGGCCGGCGTGTTGATGAGATGAAAGACAGAACAGCGCTCGGGAAAATCACAAGATTCTTGATTTGTTCGTTGTTCGCAAGTCGGGAAACATAGACTAAACATTGAATAAGAATTTCTTCAGAGTATTTTTCTCCTGCATTGATCCGATTGGAACGCACCTGGGTGCCAGAATAGTCGAACTCGCAGGCCTGGCCGATCACAATGGGCCCAGCGCCCAGGATCATGATCTTCTTGATATCCGTGCGCTTCCCCGCGGGGTTGAGCGCGTCATCGCCCCACGCTGTGAAGGCCGGCGGCGCGTCCGCGCTGACAGCCTTGGGAGGATCTAGTGAGGCGCGCGCAACGCCGCTTCGGCCAGCCTTGTGCGCCTTCACGAGGCCGGAAAGAGCGGCTTTTCCGCTGATGGCTCTCAAGGACGCGTCCTTTGTAACGCGCTCGCCGAAGCAACCGCTGTGGAGGACGCATGCGCGGGACTTGGATGCTTTCGCATTAGTGAGGGTTGACGCGTCAAGCGCATTCGAGGTTTGAGCAACGACGGGCGACGCGTTTAGGGCCGCCATTTTGGTTCTAGCAACCTGATCTGGCAAAAATGCCTGGCTTAAGGTTGCTTATGGCTTAGCTGTTTAGAAGATCCCTGTGATGTGAGCGGGATCAGGAGCAGCCAATCCCAGAACAGGTTTTGACCAAACAGCCTGACAGCTAAACAGGTCGCAGCCTCGCTAAGACGTAAATCCCAATGTTGAAGTTTGAAATGAACAAACTTTCAAGGCTGACTGCAGTGGCAACAGCAGGGGAGAAGACTTCTGTGGAGGAGAGCCGATGGATGGGGTGTGGGAAGAGGGAGGACGGGTGTGTGGTGTGGTTTCCAGTGTGGTTTCGTGAATAAACGAAAGTGTGATGTAGTTTTCCGTGTGGTGCGGCCAGGGGTGGAAGGGTAGTGGTTTGAGGCGGAATTTCCATTCCTGATTGACGCAAATGTCAGGCGGAATACATGCGCGCGCGGAGTTTCGGGAGGGTGTTTGTTTGCCCTTCAATGCCCGCCGATCAGATGCCATCGACACCGCAAAGCCCTTGAAGTGTGGCTGGGAGGAATCGGGGGCAGTTTGCGGCGCCTCTGTGGCGCACATATTCTCCCCGACTGAGGTTCAGTGCGCGGAAGCAGCTGCAAGGCCACGTGTAATTTCTCCTTCGACCAATAGGAATTTTGCGGCGCCGAAGTTCGACGCTCTGGTTGGAGATTCAAGGGCAAGTGAGAAGTGAGAACCCAGACGGGTGATGTCAACGTGAGCGTGGATTCGTCGACGTGTCTAGTCGAAGATACACTTGGCAGAAGCAAAGCAACCTTCGTGCAACAAAGCCCCTCATGTTTCCGTAGAATGTGGGTCACGTGATTGGAGGAAAAACTCATGTTCGCTGTAAAGAAATTATGATATGTATGGATCTTAGTGCAACTATCTTGTTTCAGGAATGTATGATATAAGTGTCAAGTAGTCGGAAATTAAAAAGTATAATCCATGGTGTAAAAACAGCCTTCAAAGTATCCTAATATTCATGGTAAAAAATTAAAATGTGAGAATTACTTGTTGGTGATGGGAGAAAATAGATGGACATATGATAGAGAAATGATACTTCTGTTCCAGTGTATGATTTTAATCCGTCCGCGTTATTCGTCGTGACATTGCCAGACCGCACCGTTACCAGACCTGTTTTGGCGATGATTTTTCCTGACGAAAACCACATCACCTGCGACATTTGATAACCATCGACAAACCCACCTGGCACTGGAGCGCACCTGACCAGCAGCAGATGTCCAATCAGCGACGCCACCTCGTCCTTACCGTGACAGCACTCCGACGACACGGGGAGACATTCGTTGCCTGGTTGGTGGAGATCCGAACCACACGAGTTTCCGCTGATGCCACGAGGACGGAGTTTGGTAGAGATTCCGAACCTGTATTCTCACCAACCACCATTGCCGAGCCTGCGCTCCTCGCTGCATAATTATCGGAAAGTGATCCATCAAACTTTGACAATTTCTTACCTTCAGAAACCAGCAATTTCTGAAGGCACATTTTAGGGAACTCCAGCATCTGTGAGCATCTCAATTGCAATTTCTTGGTAGTGATATCTGCATCTGACTGACTTTCTCGTGTCCAGCCATGGCTTCCGAAGCTCCTGTCAAGAAGGCTTTCATCACCGGTATTACTGGCCAAGATGGATCTTACTTGACAGAATTTCTGCTCTCCAAGGGCTACGAGGTCCACGGTATCATCCGTCGTTCTTCTAACTTCAACACCCAGCGTCTCGACCACATCTACCGTGATCCTCACGTGTCTTCGGCTAAGCTGAAGCTTCACTACGGTGACTTGTCCGACGCTACCGCTCTTCGCCACTGGATTGACCAGATTAAGCCAGATGAGGTCTTCAACCTCGGTGCTCAGTCCCACGTCGGTGTCTCCTTCGAGAACCCCGAGTACACCGCCGATGTCGTCGGTACGGGAGCTCTTCGGTTGCTCGAGGCTGTTCGCAACCACATTGAGAACTCCGGACGTACCGTGAAGTACTACCAGGCTGGATCTTCAGAAATGTTCGGCGCTACCCCTCCTCCTCAAGACGAGAAGACGCTCTTCCACCCCCGGTCGCCTTATGCCGTGTCCAAGGTGGCTGCTCACTGGTACACCGTGAATTATCGCGAGGCTTACGGCATGTTCGCCTGCAACGGTATTCTCTTCAACCACGAGAGCCCGAGGCGTGGTGAGAACTTCGTGACAAGGAAGATCACCCGCGCTGTTGGTCGCATCAAGGTTGGGCTTCAAAAGAAGCTGTACCTTGGGAACCTGAAAGCTTCCCGTGATTGGGGTTTTGCCGGCGACTACGTCAAGGTAAGACAAATGTTCATTCTATATCCCTTTCCCCTTATATCACATCCCTTTTGGATCAAGGAACCTGCTTTGTTGTCTAACCATTTATCAAACTAGTTCCCCATCCTCCCTTACACAACATTTCATAACTGAGATCGCGTGTAGTTAATTGAACAACACCTACTGAAACGTGTCCTAATTGATCTCTTCCTTGTCGATTTTACAGGGAATGTGGCTGATGCTCCAGCAGGAGCAGCCTGATGACTACGTGCTGGCCACTGAGGAGTCGTTCACAGTGGAGCAGTTCCTGATCGCAGCCTTCGGCTATGTCGGCCTCGACTGGAAGGAGTATGTCGAGATCGACCCCCGCTACTTCCGCCCGTCCGAGGTGGACAACCTCCGTGGGTGCTCGGCCAAGGCCCGGGAAAAGCTTGGGTGGAAGCCCGAGGTTGACTTCAACAAGCTGGTGGCGATGATGGTTGAGTCGGATCTGGATAAGGCTAAGAGGGAGCAGGTTTTGGTCGAGAACGGCTTCTTGGACAGCAACTTCCAGCCCTAGGCTAGGGTTGGGAATCTGGGGTCTTAGGTTGGGTATTTAACGTGATAATTTCACGATGGATAGTATGGCTTCTTCGCACAGTTTGCCCTGTGCAATTGTAAAGCTTCTGTGACTTTTGCCTTTGAGCGTCTGTGAGTATCTCCTGCTGGTTGCAGCCTCTCCTGCTGAATATGCACTCCCTGGTTGGGGCCTGCTCCAAAAAGCCTGACCGTTTATGCAGTCTCTTCCATTCAGCCTGTCATGCCTGGAAGGTACTGCATGGGGGATTAGGCAATCTGCTTAGGCAATTGGCTGCCAACGAGAGGCATTGAAGATAGGAACTGAGTGGAGCTGTCCATATTCCGTGGGTGATCAACAGAAACACAAAACCTGTCAAGAGGCAACCTGCTCCCTAACACACATGCCTGCGATACTTGGCTGACAGCAGTAATGACACCCCCTTCACTACCGCCATCATGGGATTCTCAAAGCATGGCAACGTGCCAAGATGTGAGCTTGCCCTCGAGCTGTTACATTAGTTATGTTCCCTGTACAGGCTGCTTTGCTTACAGCTCAACCCCTACCCAGTTGCTGATCTTCCTGTGGTCCACTAGTAGTCTATTATTCTTGTCGCGGTACACCATATCCTCGAAATCAGCATTCCATATAACCTCCTCATCTGCAACAAAGTAGTCCTCCACATGAAAGACTGGCTGCATGGATGCGCGCTCCATACCAATCTGCACACGAGACATGGTACATGAAAGGCAGCTGGACGAAGGGTTTAGGGTTTCGGGTTTAGCAGACCGGCGGGAGCATGATGGCCTAAGGAGGGAAGCAAAGAACGAAGTCTCCACCAGAGAAGCTGACCACAGGTAGGAGCACAACACTTCACCGTGCCTTCCATTGACCTGCGTTGACTGTGCTTGACTCACAACAGCGAGGCTGAGCTGTGCGTTGACCAGGCAGAGGTCGTCTCGAGACCGGCCATACAGCGGGCTGGACTCGTCGATCACATGCCGCACCGTCATGCCATACCGCTGGTATGAATCCTCTGAGCGCACCTGTGGGTGGGAGGGAATGAAGGGAGGAAGGATAGTAGGTGGAAATAGCATGGTGCTTAAACAGCAGCGGGGAGAGCATCATCATGCAGTCACCAGCTCACACGGCTGTGGTCCCACCAGCACATACCTGCCAATACATGCATACCACACCAATACCCATCCATACCAGCTTTAGGTGGTCGACTTGGCGAAAAAATCGCCCCATGCATGAGAGCGTGCTGTGCTTGAGCGTGAGCTCCACCTTCACATCCACCAGCTCGCACCTTCAAGCACATACTCCAGTACCACCATACCAGCACCACCATCAGCAGCAGCAGGCATACCAGCTGAAGGTGATCGACTTGGCGGAAGAACTGCCCCGTGCAGGAGAGCTTGTTGTGCTTGAGAGTGAGCTCCACCTTCACATCCACCAGCTCACAACTTCAAGCAACCTTCATGTACCGGCAGCATACGCTCATACCAGCTTGAGGTGGTCGACTTGTCGGAAGAAGCGGCCCGTACAAGACAGCGTGTTGTGCTTGAGCGTGAGCTCCACCTTCACATCCACCAGCTCGCACGGCTGTGGCCCCGCCAGCACATACCGCACCAGCAGCATGCGCTCACACCCCCTCCCCACCCCCATCCCACCACCACCCGTGCCAAACCCTGCTCCTTCCGCTCCGCCTCTCCACCCCACCCCTGCAACGCCCCCCGCACCTCCTCCACCCCCTTCTCCCCCAACCCCTCCGCCTGCAGCAGCAGCAGCGCCTGGGAGGACCCTAGAGGCAGCAAAGGCTGCGCTACCTCCGAAGTTGGCGCTGCTGATGCTGCGAGACAGCGAGCGGGCAGCAGGAGGGTAGCGTGCCGGCACAGACCCCCCAGATCCCCCAGCTGCACCTCCCAGCACCTTCACACTCTGCTGCTGCCGCTGCTGCTGCTGTGGCTGCTGCTGCTGTGGCTGCTGCTGCAAGGGAGGAGTGATGCAGGCGACTTTGGAGCAGAGAATCGGGTCCACGGGCTGTGTGAGCCTCGCAAACACAGCTCCACTGAGAAACACAAACAGCAGCTGCGCCACTAAAGCATTCACATTCGCCACCACCAGCGCGTACGGCGACGCCGGTGCTAGAGCCGGTTCTAGCCCTGTGGAGAGCGAGAGAGAGAACATGAGAACCTGGAAAATCCCCCACGCGCACCCCCCCGGGATGATCCCGGCGGGACCCAGGCGGAAGACGTTGGACTGCTCGAGAGCACGCACGGCGTCGCCGAGGGTTTGAGAGCCGTCGACGACGTTGAATAGGCCGCCTGACGCTGCTTCCTTTGCTGCTGCTGCTGCAGCTGCTGCTGTGGCGGGCGCTCTGAATGCTCCTGTGCTTGCCAGGCCGCTTACAACCGCTCCTCCTGCTCCTCCTCCTCCTGCTGCTGCTGCTTGTACTGCTTCTCGTGCTCCTTCCACTGCCGCTGCTCCGGAAGACCCTGCTGCTTCTGCTGCTGCTGCTCCAAGCGTTGTAAGTGCAGACGAACCTGCTTCTGCTGCTGCTGCCGCTCCTGCCGACTCCACAGCTGATCCCACGCCCCGAGCCACAGCCATGGCCGGACCTGCAAAGAAGGACTCGTCCTCCAGAGCACTGGCTGCCGAAGCTGCGACGGAGGTTTGGAGGTAGGCTAGGAGCGTGTCCTCCACCACCAAACCGTCCAGGTCCGGTAGGTAGAGGAGGGTGAAGAGGAGTGAGAGGAGGAGCGGGGCGGAGCAGACAGCAAGTGAGAAGACAAGAGGAGGCTGTTTGAGCATGTGTGAGTAGAGGTTGTAAAGGAGAGAGACTATGGAGGGACGGTGCTGGATGATTCCTAGTTGAGACTGTACCTTTCTCCCTCTCTCTTCGCTCGCTCCTAGCATGATTCGCATGGGGCTCATATCCTCCTCTTCCTCTATTCCCACTTCCTCCTCCTTTCCGTTCATCACTGTGTTTGTTACCTCCTTAACGGTGCCCTCTATGCCCTCTACTGCCTCTATCACTGTTTCTGTCACGTCCCGCACCGTACCCTTTATAGTCTCCTCCACGCTATCCTTTACGTCCAGTACTGTGCTTTTCACGTCCTTCACTGTCTCAGTTACGTCCGTCACTGTATCCCTGACGGATTCCGTCACTGACTCCGTTACATCTTTCACCTTAACAGTTACATCCTTCACAGTGTCAGTAACGCCAATCACAGCATCAAAAACGGTGCCTGCCACTGCACCCACCACCTCCCCTGCCCCGGCCTCCAAACTCCTCCCAGACCCCCCGCTCACTCCCTCTGCTTCCTCCTCTGTCCCTCGTTCCCCTCTTGCATTTGTTGTGTCTGTTGCGCCTGCTGCCCCTTTTACTTCTCGCGTTCCTCTGCCTTTGCCTCTCATCCCAACCGCCTCAGAAGCTTCTAATCCCTGCCCTCCCTCTCCTTCTCTCCCCATTTGCTTCTCCCCTCCTGCCATTCCATTCCGTCTCTCGCCTCTCGGGTTACCCATCCCCCTCGACCCAGCAACCCCATTTCTAAACTCCCTTTTGCCCTCCTCTTTTCGATCACTCCTCTCTTTCGCGCTCTCTTTCCCATCCCTCCCTCCTACAGCACCTCCCTCGCCGCCCCTCTCTCCCGCCGCGCCTTTCCCTCTCTCCCGTTCTCCGTTCCCTGTCTCTCTCACTCCCCTACCCTTCCCCCCTCGCATGTCTCTCCGCAAATATACGCCACCCAGCTCATCCGCATCCCTTGCGCTTTCCCCTCCGCCGCTCCCCTTCTCCGCGTCCTCCTCTTCCCCGCGCCGTGTCCACACTCGTCGTTTCCTCCTGCGCATCCCCCCGTGCATCCCCCCGCTTCCCCGCGCGCCCAGCGATCGAGCGGGGACTGGACCCCTCCGCGCACCGCCTCCGCGCAAAAACGTCCCGCGCGCGGCCAAAAGCCCCGCTCCGCCGGAATCTCTCCCCGCGAACGGCAGACGCGGGGAATCTTCTCCGAGTCCCCCCAGATCCCGCTTCCGCAAGGCAGTTGGTGGGGTCAGCGGGCGCAAATCGCGGAGATTCGGCGCTGGGGGGAGGGCTTGAGAGTGCGGGCGCACGGAGAGGGGGAGGAGGCAGGCGCACAGCCCGTGCGACATGGCGTGCGACGGCGACGGTTCAACAGGCGACAGATTCAGGCGACAGTTCGCGGGCGACAGTGGAGCGTGATCGCACGAGAGAATCGATGGACGGGTGTGTTGTGATGTGGCTGATACGCGATCGCACTACTTGCGCGACGAGCGCTCCACACGCGGGACGAGCGCGGCCGTTGCGGACACCCTATAAGCGTGTCGGACACGCTTCGAAACAATTCATTTTCGCGCTTTGCAAGCAGGCACGTGCCTGCGAGTGCGAAGTGTAGCCAATCTCACTTTCGAAATGACGACACGGGAGCGACGAGACGCGTATTAGATGCTGAGACTGGACAGGGCGAATTGACAGGAAGATTTGGTAGTGTGAGGTGAGATTCGGACAGGGCGAAATCAGTGTGCTTCTTGTTTCGCTATAAACTTCTTCGTGATGCATTTGTTTGCTTCATACAGCGAAACTGTCTTGGTGCTACCAAAAAACTGTTCCGAACTCTCAAGCCCCCACCCGCTGCCCTTTCAATCTGATCTGCCAAGCCGCCATAAATTCCCTCCTCCCCACTCGACAATCTCCAGGCTTTTGTTTTCCGTCGCGCCTGACGTGGCACTACACGTTGTTGCCGCTCGCGAGGGCTGGATACGGGGAAAGCTAACCACTGACCGTTCATTCAAAACCTGATAGAAAGTCGCGCCGTCCTCTAACGAACAGTGCGCCTCGGAACGCGACTCATGCACTCAAGCGGACTGAACAGACTCGCACGCGCGCTGTAGTCTCGGCGTAGATTTCTCGGCGCCACCGAGTCGCTGTGGAGGCGGCGCGGGGGACGCGTTAATCCAGTGGCGGTGCGGCAAGGGCTGCCCGCATGGTGCGGTTGCAAATCGAGTTCAGGTGGGTCGCCGCATGCCCCGCCGGGTTTCCCGCTCACCTTGTAAGGCGGACTCGTCGTTCCGCCGTTGCTTCGCCGCGCATCCTCGATCTCATCTTCCGCTCCCCTGACTTGCCCCGTCACACATTTCCGCGTTCCCCTTTCTCCCCGCGTTCCCCCACCTCCGCGCGTCGCCCATTATCCCCGCGTTCCTCCATTCTCCCCGGTTCCCCCATTCCGCCTTCCCGCAGCGGAGGCTTGGAGCTGCTGTTCGGCGGAGAGAAGAAGCAGAGCGTGGATGTGACTGTAACGGGGGAGGATGGTCAGGTGGGGTGTAGCTAGTGTACATATATTCGCATGCATGATCAGTTCAGAAATGCATGCACATGTCTGCTCACATTCAGTAGTCCGAACGCACACTCACATGTGTCACATGCAACACTCACACGCAAAGACTACCACCCTTCAGTATCATTCCATTCCAAGAATGCCTCGCCCCTTCCCTCGCTCCCCCACCTTCCTCACCCCCCTTATCCCCCACCCTCACAACAGCTATCCATGGCACCGTTGCTGGCATGGATGCGAGAGCACATGCTAAAGGAGCGACCAGAGATGTTTCTCAAGGGGCCCACCGTGTGAGTCACATCGCCCTCAGCACAACCACTGTCTGTGTGCCGCACCGCACCTGCTCCCCTGCAAGTTTCTTATGAAGAGATTCAAAATGAGAAAACCCTTGCTTTTGTATGTGAGTCTAGTGAAGAGCCTGATTGCAATGGTATTTTCCCAGTTGCCCCATTGCAGTCTCTCTCTCCAACATATCCGTCTCATCCCTCTCCCAACCCCTTCCCCACCTTCCCAATCCGGTTACAGATCAACAATGTGGATTAAGACCTCACAGGCAATGTAGAGTCTCCAATGCCTCTTTGCATCTTCTCCCTTTTACGTACCCATCTAGTCCCTCTTCCCCTGTCTCACTCCCACCATCTCTGCTGTGGAGGCGGCCGGGGGTGCTAGTGTGATATACGACGTGGATTAGGAGCTCACAGGCCATCTCGGTTCTCAACCCCGTCTTATTTCTCCCTCTGCCTCTTCCCCACCATCCTCCTCTGGTTACCCTCTGCTGTGCAGACGACCAGGTGTGCTGGTGCTGATAAACGACGTGGATTGGGAGTTGACAGGCAATTTAGAGTCTACGGTGGAGGATGGGGATAGAGTCACTTTCATTTCCACACTTCATGGTGGTTAATCAAGCCTGACAGACATGCACCAAATGCAACCGTAGATGATGCATTGTCAACCAGAGTACCGTAGCAGGTAGCTTTATTTCCATACGCTAAACTGAGATGCGTTTTTCTTTGATGCAGAAGCACCTGTAGTGCTGACACCGCAACAGGCTCCATGAGGCTCGGTGGCTGGTTGTGTGAAAGAAATCATTGTTCCTCTTGGAATGCCTTTCTTGCCTCTTTCAGCTCTACGTTCATAGCAAGTAATTCCCTGGCTCTAGCAAACTTGCGTGGGTCCTGCGATAGCGGGTAACAGAGGAGTACAGTGAACAGGTTCACATAGCGGCCGGCAGTGGGGGGCGAGGGGGAAAAGGAGCTGAGACAATGAGTGAGAAGGGGAAGGGGGGACGTATGGGAGATGAGTGAAAGACGAACGAGAGTTGATGAGCGAATGAGTGAGGTATGACGAGTGAAGAAGAATGCGTAACAATTAGTGAAGAGACGGGAGTGGGAAAGGATGAGGGGGGATGAGAGAAAATGAGAGGACAAAAGAAAATGAGTTGTGAGTGAGGGAGTGAGGGACTAGCCTTGCGGATGAGGAAGAGCACGTCTTCTGTGGTGAGGCGGTCTTGTGAGAGGGTGAGTGAGTGAGGGAGTAGGGAGAGGGTGAGTGAGTGAGGGAGTAAGGGAGAGGGTGAGTGAGTGAGGGAGTAGGGAGAGAGTGAGTGAAAGAGTGAGGGGACTAGCCTTGCGGATGAGGAAGAGCACGTCTTCAGTGGTGAGGCGGCCTCGCCTGGCCGCCACCTCCTGTGCGCGATGCACCAAGTCAGTGATGTACTCTATCACTATCTCCTCCACTAGCTCCACTGACTCTGGTAGGGGCTGCAGTGGCAAGAGGGAACACGGTATGGGGCAATAGGGAGAGATGGAGGAGCGTAAGGGTGAGGGTGGTGCACGAGGTTAGTGATGTACTCGATCACTATCTCCTCCACCAGCTCCACTGACTCAGGTAGGGGCTGATGGGACACAACACAATAGAGAGAGAGGGATATTCATACGTGGAGGAGTGCGAGGGTGGGTGCGATGCACGAGGTCAGTGATGTACTGAATCACTATCTCCTCCACTAGCTCCACTGACTCTGGTAGGGGCTTGTGTGATGGCACGTGATGGGGGTGATAGTAGAGATTGGGGGGGAAGGGAGGGATTGATCGATGCACCAGGCCAGTGATGTACTCTCTCGCCAGCTCCACTGACTCCGCCAGGGGCTGGTCCCTGAGAGCGCGCGAAATGAGGAGATACTCGCTAGCTGTGTCCTCTCAGAGTGGCTGCTGTGGGTGGTGGGTCATCTCATGCTGATGCTGAACCTGAACCTGATGCTGATGCTGATGCTGAACCTGAACCTGATGCAGAACCTGATGGCGAACCTGATGGCGAACCTGATGGCGGACCTGATTGGCGAACCTGATGGCGAACCTGATGGCGAACCTGATGGCGAACCTGATGGCGAACCTGATGGGGAACCTGATGGCGAACCTGATGGGGAACCCGATGGGGAACCTGATGGATTACCATCACAGACAGCACACGAGCTCACCTCGGGATCATCTCCAAAGCCGTACATCATGAGCCGCACTGCATGCACAGCAGACGCAATACAGAGCGGTTTGGATGGGTGGACGCACCAACGGGTACATGGGAGCACATGGGAGCACGTGGGAGCAGCATGAAGGAGTTAGTACGATCAATGAAGCTGCATGTGGGGTGAACAGTGAGGGTGCATGAAACGGTGCATGAAACGGGAAAGCATTAACTCCCTTCAGCTTTCTCCCAACCCTTCTCACCCCCCCCACTCCTTCTCGCCTCTCTTCCTTCTCACCCAACCTACATCTCCCCCCCAACTCCATCTCCGCCCACTCCAACGCCCCACTCACGTTCTCTCAGGAAAATACCCGCCTTTTTCTTCGACCCGCTAAACTCCTCCGTCGGATAGAAAGATGCATGGAACGAGCAAGCTCAATCCCCCTTCCGCTTTCTCTCAACAGCCCTCTCTCTCCCATCTACCCCGCCCCACTCACGTTCTCTTAGGAAAATTCCCGCCTTTTTCTTCGACCCGCCCAACTCCTCCGCCGCCGCTTTTCCCTTCGCCCGCCCCGCTCCCCCGCCTCCGCCGGAAGGGCCCTCTCCGCCCTCATTCCCCTGCATGCCCGCGGGCGCGCGGGAACGCGCAGGGCAGGCGGTAACTAGGCGCAGGCGGAAGTTAGACGGAAAGCGCGCAGCAGCAGACGTCGGAGCCGCGCCAGCAGCAAAGCGGATGATGGGCGCACGAAAGGGATGTTTGAGCCGCGCCAGCAGCCAGCAAGGATGGGCTCGCGGAACGACGGGAGCAGAGGAGGTTGGATAATACTCGAGAGTAGCGGGCGGTGCACGGCAGGGGCGGTTATAACGGTAAGCGCAGTCGCGACGACGTTAATGCGGAGATTTCGACAGTAGTAAGAAAACGTGGTAGATAAAAAGTGTACTGAGGTTTATAGCATTCACAGCTCTGTTTAAACTTTCAGCATTTGTAGGCTTATAGCGGAACAGCGGTGCCGCTGTATCGGGTCATCCAAATGAAATCTACATCTACACTCACATTTGCACCCACATTACTAGTGGTTCAAAAAAGTTATTCATATCAATTTCACTGCTCCTATCAGCTTTATCGGCTGAGGGAAGGGCACACGAGTGGCCTTCCTGCAGTCTACCGCACTGGGTAGCTCCAAAGACTGCACTGCCTTTGCCCCCTCCGCTTGCCATATCTGCTCGCACAAGTGCGCAAACGAAAAACAAGATATGGGTGAGAAGGGTGATGCGTAGCTAAAGAACCAAATAAAAACACATGATCATACACCACAAGGCCAGAGGGCTCACCGTGATGTGTACAAAGGGATTAAACGAGCGAACTGCCTCTCCATCAGGCCCACGCAACTCCACGGCGAGTGCTGCCACATGCTTATCAAACAGCAGCGCCGTTGCCAGCACAGTGACCGCACACCCTTCCATGGGAGCAAAGCTCACCACTGCCGGCACACCGTGCTCTCTGTGTGCCAGAGTCACATGCATCCACCCCAATCCCCTGCCACCACCACCACCAGCAGCAGCACCAGCAGCAGCAGCACCACCACCACTGCCCACTTCCAGTTTCTTTCTCAAAGGACCTTCCGCCGTTTTCCAGAACTCTGCCACACGCGAATCAGATCGCGCCAGCTCCTCTAACGTCCGCAAAAGCTGCCGCCCGCTTGTTGCCATGTCAGCGCCGCCCGGCGCCACGTCAGCAGCGGGGTCAATCACCACCGCTGCCAGGCGGATGCTGCGGAAGCTCATCTTGGCGGCGACCTGTGGGCGAATTTGTCCTGTAGCGATCTGGTGGAGCTGGTTTTGGACTGTAGCGACCACTTGTTCGAGAGGCAGTTGGATGGATGTGAGGTAGGGGGCATGCTTGTGCAGCACTGCTCTCAACTCCCCCTCCCACTCCACCACCTCCTCTGCCATTGGCGGTTTCAGGGGCTCCTTGCTGCAGCAGCCACAGGGGGGTGGGTGAGGATGCGAGGGGTAGAGATGTGAGAGATGAGATGGGTGAGGGGGATGCGGGAGAGGAGAGTCAGGATTGTGAGGCGAAACAAGTGTGGGACGACAAGTGGAGGGGTTGGAAGGACTGGTGGTGTGAATGCAAGACCAAGAGTAAGCTAAAGTCCGGAACATGACACTCGAGATAACAGAAACTTAAGTTCTCCCTGAAAAATGCGCTCCTGCCTTATTCCACACTGGCCTTACACCCTCCCTGCCAAACACCCGAACTGCACTGCACCCTTTGTGTCGTTTCCATATCTTTTCCCGCAGCTTATGCCCCGTCTTGATGACGCTAGCTATCTCTTCTGGTAGTGGTGGGCTGGCGCAGAAAGGGAGAAGAGAAGGACAAGGCAGTGCAAAGAGGAGACGGAAATCAGAGAGCGTGAGAGGAGGATAGGTCCTGGGGAAGGAGGTGGTGGTGGAGGGTGTGGAATGGATCCAAAGGAAAAACCCAGTGCAGATCACTGAGGCACAAGCTCACAATGACATAGATACTCATGCTTCCAATTGACCACAGACACTCACGAGTCAGGCTTGACCACAGGCATGGTCACGAGCAAGCCAAAGCGCTGCTTCAGCTCCGCCTCAAAATCCTCCCGGTTCTGATGCCGTGACGGGTGGGTGTGGGTGGAGAGGTGGGGAGATAAGTGCATGCAAGGAGGTGTCGGGTAGACGAAATGCACATGGGTCAAAGCACGTGGGACAAAGCTGGGCACGGCATGGCAAGGGACGGGAGGCAGCGCATGGGGTGGGGTGCGGTGGGCACGGCTCACATGTCTGCCGTAGAGCGAATGGAAGCTAAGCACCACTTGGCCTGGTGCTGGTGAGCTGGCATCCAAATCGCCCTGAGATGAGACGAGGAGGAGGAAGAGAAAATGGGACAATGGGGACGAAGGACGAATGTGGTGAGGGGCGGCGGAAATGGGAGTAACTGTAAATGCCGGCCCACCTTGGTCTGTTTCAAAGCAAGGTGGAATGGGAATTTTTCTCAAGTTGAATTTGCTGTGTTGATGGCCTACAGGCCTAAACGACAGACATAGACAAAGGTTCTTGAGAGGAGGTTGGGTGCTAGAAAGGGGGTCTCACAGGGTGGTTGGTGCGTTGAATCACGCGGAACAGAAACACGGCCAGCACTCGCCAGTCAAAGGGGTTGTGCAGTGTGCCTGCCCGGTGCAGAGCGGTGGAGGGGGTTTGGAGAGGGGAGAAGGGGCTGACAACAGTGCTTGCATTGCATCCCTGGAAGGTTGGATTGCAACAAGCTCCAGGCTTCACAAGATGGGAGGAACACGAAACCTGGATGCGTCAGAAACACTGTAATGGCATCCCTCTGCCCTCCCTCATTCAACTCTCCATCCGCACACTCTCCACCACCAACAACCCACACATTATCTCCCCCCCTCTAACCCCACTACCACCCGACCCTGACTGACTGCCATACCTAGCGAGGCAGGCACAACAGGCACGCCCTGCAGCCCTGTGTCATAAACGCGACTCGAGAAACAGCGACACTTGACGTCCACACCCAACAGCCGCACCTAGGCACCATACCCAATGGCGTACCTAGCGAGGCAGGCACAACAGGCACGCCCTGCAGCCCTGTGTCGTGGCAAATGGCTTCTATCTGCATATCACACATCGGATGGGTGGGGGGATGGGGTGAGAGCAATGAGGGGAAAAAGCTGAACTGATGAAGTTGTGAGGCGTCTAAAACGCCAGCAGTCCTGTGCCGGGTGAATAGCCTTTATCTGGATGCCAAATGTAGTAAGAGAAGAGCTCACTGCATGAGCACATGATCACAAAAGCATGTGAGCATGTGAGCACAAGGGCACATAAGCAAGTGAGCATGAGAGCACAGGAGCATGGGAGCACGGACCTGGTTCCACACGTCCTCGTTGGGCGCGTTCTTATCCGCCAGTACATTCACCCTCGCCTCCCTCTCCTTCCTCATGCGCGCTCCCAGCAGCTTCCAGTACTTCCCTGCATAACAGGGACAGGTGGGATGTGGTTGGATGTGGTGAGACGCGGTGAGAGGGCCAGAAAGAGGCAAACAGGATACCAGGCAAAGTGAGGGGAAAGATGTTTTATGATGTGCCGTAATGTACCATGCAACAACAATGCACCCACCGATTGTCTTGTCGCCCATGATGTGCAGACATTCCCTCCCATCCCCCAACGGCCCTCCACCCTCCTCCACCTCCCCTCTTCCCTCCCCTCCCTCCATGCTTCCTCCCCCACCCCCTGTCGCTCTCTCCCCTCTCCTTCCTCCCCTTTCTCCTCCCCCTCCCCCTCCTGCCCCCCTTCCTTTCCCCCCGCCACCTCGCCCACCCGTCTTCCCCTTGCCCTTCCCTCTCGTCACCTCCTGCCACCCATCCTCCTCCTCTACCGCCCCTGCCTCTGCTCCTGCAACAGGGTCCGCTGAATCATCCCCCCCATCCCTCGCTCCCTGCACAGACGACTCGCCCTCCCTGCCAATCCCTGCCTGCTCAGCTGAATCACTGCCTCCACCGCCCCCACTGCCTCGACCCATCTGCATAAGGGCTTCTGAGAGAGCGGATTTGGCACACCCAGGAATCCCCGGAAAGAACACCAGCAACCCCTTGCTCTGCTCCCCTCTGCCCTCCCCTCCAGCTGCCGCCTCCCCACTCTCCTCCCCCCGCGTCCCCTCCTTCCCCCAGAGTTGGATGAAATGGACTTGGGTGGGCGGGCGATGAGGTCAGAGTTGGATGAAATGGACTTGGGTGGGCGGGCGATGAGGTCAGAGTTGGATGAAATGGACTTGGGTGGGCGGGCGATGAGGTCAGAGTTGGATGAAATGGACTTGGGTGGGCGGGCGATGAGGTCAGAGTTGGATGAAATGGACTTGGGTGGGCGGGCGATGAGGTCAGAGTTGGATGAAATGGACTTGGGTGGGCGGGCGATGAGGTCAGAGTTGGATGAAATGGACTTGGGTGGGCGGGCGATGAGGTCAGAGTTGGATGAAATGGACTTGGGTGGGCGGGCGATGAGGTCAGAGTTGGATGAAATGGACTTGGGTGGGCGGGCGATGAGGTCAGAGTTGGATGAAATGGACTTGGGTGGGCGGGCGATGAGGTCAGAGTTGGATGAAATGGACTTGGGTGGGCGGGCGATGAGGTCAGAGTTGGATGAAATGGACTTGGGTGGGCGGGCGATGAGGTCAGAGTTGGATGAAATGGACTTGGGTGGGCGGGCGATGAGGTCAGAGTTGGATGAAATGGACTTGGGTGGGCGGGCGATGAGGTCAGAGTTGGATGAAATGGACTTGGGTGGGCGGGCGATGAGGTCAGAGTTGGATGAAATGGACTTGGGTGGGCGGGCGATGAGGTAAGAGTTGGATGAAATGGACTTGGAATACTCTGCACACCGCATTGCACCGTGCCTGCACCATGCTTGGCAGAGGGCGGTCATCCCCTAGTGGTAGCTGGCGATGTTCCCCACACCTTGAGCAGGTGGAACAAAAAGAAGGTGCAGTGCAGTACGGAAATAATACGTGTGGGCAAGAAAGGGCAGGATGGAGCATGCAGCACACACCATGCTCGGCAGAGCGCGGTCATCTCGCGAGTCGCAGCTGGTAATGTGCCCCACACCTTGAGCAGCCTGCTCTCACACACAGCGCCCAGTGAACATATCGGGGATGGGGGGGAACGGAAAGGAGAGGTTTTCCTGATATTCCTCAGATCACTATACCTTGAGCAAAGTGGGCACTGAAGACGTGCCCCACACCATTAAGAACCTACTCGCACACTCATACTTCCAATAAGCATTCATGCATGACCCTAGCCACAAATGACAGCATACGCCATGTACTCACGGCGGCCCCACTTCAGCAGCGAGATCCCAATCCATGCACATGCCATGCAGCACACACACACAAGTTCCATGCACATGCCACATGCACTCCATGCATGACCCCCCACAGCCCCACCTGCTAGCATAAGCCATGAACTCATGGCGCCCCTTCTTCAGCAGAGTGCCGAGCCCGTTGCGTATTAAGAATGTCCGCAGCTTGTACGGTAGGAACTTCATCTTCAGCATCACATGCGGCACCTCATTCCCATCCCTCTCTTCCTCTTCCTCCTCCTTCTCCCTGCCCTCTCCCCCAGCACTCTCCACATCCCTTATGGCCATTCCTTCCTCCTTCTGTCCCGTTCCAGCTGCCACCCCACGCTCCCCCCTTCTCTCTCCAACTTCAGCACTAGAAACACCATCATCAGCAATGACAGCAGCACCGGCAGAAGCATCACCCGTCGCTGCTACTAGCTGCTTCCCCGTGCCCTTGTCCACCTCCACGACCGCAGCTTCCAGGAAGAACCCCCGGTAGAGCGGCCAGAGACTAGGGTCCTTGCTGGATGCATGGCAGGTGTGACGGTGGCAGGTGGGTGGGGGCGGGTGTGAGAGTAGGGAAGGGGGTGAGGGCGGGAAGGAGGGTGAGGTGAGGGTGAGAGTGCGGAGAGGGGATGGAAAGGACGTGCAGGACAGCTACAAGAACGGATAGGAGCATGCTTCAGGTTTAGAGAAGTTGGGTTGAGTATTCAACCATCACACCACTCACCGCATCTCACTGCTTCTCACCAGATCACACTGCATCACACCGCATCTCACTGCTTCTCACCAGATCACACTGCATCACACCGCATCTCTCACCACATATCACTGCACCTCACCGCATCAATTGCTGGTATCTGCGGAAGGCTGCGTCTTGGAATGCATGTACTGTGATAAGGTGGTGGGAGAGGGGCGCTGAGGTCGGCTGGTGTGAGGAAGAGGAGGAGGAGGAAGCAGAGGAGGAGGATGAGGTGGTGGTGGTGGAGGTGGAGGAGATGGAATGGGAGGGGGCAGGGGCGAGGAGAGAGGGCAAGGTGGGGAGCGGCCAGGGGTGTGACTTGAACCGCACTTTGAGCTTCTCGGCTTTCACCGCTCGCAGCATGGCCTGGGAGGGCGTGGCAGGGGAGCAACGGAGTCGAAAAAGTTGGAACTTGGACGAAAGAGGAAGAGGGAGCGAAAGGCCAAGAGGAGAAACAATGTACGGAGGACTCTTCCACTGATGCTACCCCCCTCAGACATGTTTCTGACTTGCTTAAAAAACAGGCGCATACCTGAAGTTTGCTTGTCTCTGCATCTGCTGCAGTGCAGCTGAGCAGCGAGTTCAGCCAGTCAGTCACACGCCGCTCCTCCTCCTCCTGCTGCTCCCTCCTCCTCTGCTTCGCTTTCCCTGCACTCTCACTCTCCTCCCCCTCCACCACAGTGCCTCCTTCCTCGTCCTCGCCTCCACTCCCATACCCCCCCGCCACGCCCTCCCCCCACTGCTGCTCGCTGCACATGGCGTCTCCTGCCTCCTCCACCAGATGGGCGATGCGCTGGGGGATGGCGGAAAGAGGGCAAGAGGAAGGCCGACAGTGAGGGAGGGGAGGAGCGAACGGGGGAAGGAGATGCGGATGGAAAAGCAGGAGAGGGGGAAGGTGAGGGGGAAGGAGACGAAGAAGGGAGAAACAGGGAGAGAGAGGAGGGAAAGGAGGTGCAGGGGGGCAGGGGAGTTGTTGAGGAACGAATGCAAATGGAAGCTAAGAGTGGGGGCGGACAGAGGGGCAAGAGGCATGATTCAGCCAGAGGCGATTTCAGTTCAGACCAGACTCAAAGGGGAGACAGCGTGAGATAGCAGAGACATGGGAGGCAGGCGGATAGAAAGGCTGGACAGAAAGGAGGGAGAGTGTGAGAAGCGAGTCCCTTTCTGTGATCTCACGAAAGTCCTCTGATCTCTTATCTGAGCTCTCCTCTTCCACCCTGCATTCGCGTCTCCAATGGTCTCATCTCCTCCAATTCCCATGCGCGCCACAGTCACCTTGTGCATCGCCCCAGCCTCGCTCACCTCCTTCATTGAGTCGTGCTGAGTGAAGAGCTCCCTCAGTCGCGTGCCCGCTCCCACGGGGTAGCTGGGCGCCGGGCCTGGCGCAGTGGACGGGACAGGAGAGTGCGGGCACAGAGAGAAAACAAAAAGAAGAAAAGAAAGGAGACGGTGGCTTGGGGCGGTGGTGCTACTTGAGCAGCTGAATCAGTTTCCCGTAGGCTGAATCAGCCCGCTGGGCTGGGCTGTGTGGTGCGGCCTACAGGCCGCCTCAAAGACCCGCTGAATCACCAGCATTCCCCTACCGGCTTACTGAGCTGCGTGCTGGTAGCTCAACCAGTGGCATTCCCTGGTGGCATCCCTTGACGCAGGCCGGGAATTGTCCAGTCGGCAAGGGCGCACCATGAGGTCAGTCCCTTGGCAGCACAAAGTCAAAACGACCAAAGTGGTGGACCTCAGCAGGCAATTTACCAAACAATCCACCAAACTAGCACCATCTTTGAAGAATCACCTCAACACTCACCGGCCAGCAGCCCCGCCTTGAGCTCTCTCACTTGCTGCAGGCTCCTGGGGCTCACCAGCCTCGCCACTAGCCCCTCCATGATGCTTCCCTGAAGCCTCTCGTGTGATGCCGTGCCTGAGTAGGGGCAGAAGGTGGGGAGGAGGGGGAAGGGAGGAGAGGAGGCGCAAACAATATGCAAACAACAAGAGGGGGTGCAAACAACAAGAGGGGGTGCAAACAACAAGAGGGGGTGCAAACAACAAGAGGGGGTGCAAACAACAAGAGGGGGTGCAAACAACAAGAGGGGGTGCAAACAACAAGAGGGGGTGCAAACAACAAGAGGGGGTGCAAACAACAAGAGGGGTTGCAAACAACAAGAGGGGGTGCAAACAACAAGAGGGGGTGCAAACAACAAGAGGGGGTGCAAACAACAAGAGGGGGTGCAAACAACAAGAGGGGGTGCAAACAACAAGAGGGGGTGCAAACAACAAGAGGGGGTGCAAACAACAAGAGGGGGTGCAAACAACAAGAGGGGGTGCAAACAACAAGAGGGGGTGCAAACAACAAGAGGGGGTGCAAACAACAAGAGGGGGTGCAAACAACAAGAGGGGGTGCAAACAACAAGAGGGGGTGCAAACAACAAGAGGGTGTGCAAACAACAAGAGGGGGTGCAAACAACAAGAGGGGGTGCAAACAACAAGAGGGGGTGCAAACAACAAGAGGGGGTGCAAACAACAAGAGGGGGTGCAAACAACACGGGAGTGGCAGAAGGGGAAAACACGTTGCACAGGTGGAGGAGGACGCTGCAGCGAAGGGCGAAATGTGGACGGGTGATTGGCGGAGGAAGGGGGAATGGCGGAGAAACGGGGAACCCCACAGCAATCCACGGCAAACAGAAACAGAAAAACACAGTGTGCGTCAGTCTGAGGCCAAGGGGCTAGTTTTGAGTCCGGATTAAATTAGACCCTCCCGGATTAACTTAGAACCCCCCGGATTAACTTAGATCCCCCCGGATTAACTTAGACCCCCCCGGATTAACTTAGACCCCCCCCCCAATAACTTAGACCCCCCCCAATAACTTCCCCCCCCCCCAAATAACTTAGACACCCCCCCAATAACTTAGACCCCCCCGGATTAAGTTAGACCCCCCCGGATTAACTTAGACCCCCCCGGATTAACTTAGACCCCCCCGGATTAACTTAAACCCTCCCGGATTAACTTAGACCCCCCCGGATTAACTTAGACCTCCCCGAATTCACTTAGACCCCCCCGGATTAACTTAGGCCCCTCCGGATTCACTTAGACCCCCCCGGATTAACTTAAGCCCCCCCCCGGATTAACTTAGACCCCCCCTGATTAACTTAGACCCCCCCGGATTACCTTAGACCACCCCGGATTAACTTAGGCCCCCCTGGATTAACTTAGACCCCCCCGGATTAACTTAGACCCCCCTGGATTAACCTAGACCCCCCCAAATCAACTTAGACCCCCCGGATTAACTTAGACCCCCCCGGATTAACTTAGACCCCCCCGGATTAACTTAGACCCCCCTGGATTAACTTAGACCCCCCCGGATTAACTTAGACCCCCCCGGATTAACTTAGACCCCCCCAGATTAACTTAGACCCCCCCGGATTAACTTAGACCCCCCCGGATTAGCTTAAACCCCCTGAAATTTACTTAGACCCCCCCGGATTAACTTAGACCCTCCCGGATAACTTAGACCCCCCCGGATCAACTTAGACAACCTCGAATCAACTTAGACCCCCCCGGATTAACTCAGACCCCCCGGATTAACTTAAACCCCCCCGGATTAACTTAGACCCCCCGGAGTTACTTAGACCCCCCCGGATTAACTTAGACCCCCCCGGATAACTTAGACCCCCCCGGATTAACTTAGACCACCCCAAATCAACTTAGACCCCCCCGGAGTAACTTAGACCCCCCCGGATTAACTTAGACCCCCCCCGGATTAACTTAGACCCCCCCGGATTAACTTAGACCCCCCCGGATTAGCTTAAACCCCCTGGAATTTACTTAGACCCCCCCCGAGTAACTTAGACCCCCCCGGATTAACTTAGACCCCCCCGGATAACTTAGACCCCCCGAATTAACTTAGGTCCCCCCGGAGTTACTTAGACCCCCCCGGAGTTACTTAGACCCCCCCGGAGATACTTAGACCCCCCCGGAGATACTTAGACCCCCCCGGATAACTTAGACCCCCCCGGATAACTTAGACCCCCCCGGATTAACTTAGACCACCCCAAATCAACTTAGACCCCCCCGGATCAACTTAGACCCTTCCGGATTAACTTAGACCCCCCCCCGGATTAACTTAGACCCCCCCGGATTAACTTAAACCCCCCCGGATTAGCTTAAACCCCCTGGAATTTACTTTGACCCCCCCGGAGTTACTTAGACCCCCCCGGATTAACTTAGACCCCCCCGGATAACTTAGACCCCCCCGGATTAACTTAGACCACCCCGAATCAACTTAGACCCCCCCGGATTAACTTAGAGCCCCCCGGATTAACTTAGACCCCCCCGGATTAACTTAAACCCACCCGGATTAACGACGACCCCCGTGGATTAACGACGACCCCCGTGGATTAACGTCGACCCCCCTGGATAACGTCAACTCAAAACTAGGGGCTAGTTTTGAGTCAACTCAAAACTAGGTCTGAAACCAAGGGGCTAGTTTTGAGTCAACTCAAAACTAGGTCTGAGACCAAGGGGCTAGTTTTGAGTCAACTCAAAACTAGGTCTGAGACCAAGGGGCTGACCTGAAATGGTGACGTCTGCTATACGGGTGAGTGTGTCCTCCATTGAGTGGGTCGTGCCCTCCGCACTCAGCGATGGAAGGCAGACCAAGGCAGAGCATGGGGCATAATCATACTGCTTGCGTGTATGCGAGCGATAAGCTGACCTGCAATGGTGACGTCTGCTATGCGAGTGAGCGTGTCCTCCACTGAGTGCGCCGTGCCCTCCTCACTCAGTGCGCTGTACGCTGCAAACAGCTGCGTGCACGAATCCCTGGTGACAGGCGGCGAGGGGTTGAGGCATATGCTTGGAGATGGGATCACATTCAGTGCTCAGAGGGAGCGAGGGACGAGGAGAGCGGCGCGGGACAAGAGGAGAGAGACGAGAGGGCATACTTGGAGCAAGCAAAGAGAGAGAAGAGAAGAGACGGAAGGGTGGGAGGGGAAAAGAGAGAAGCAAGAAACGACAGGAGTGAAGTGAAGAGAGGAGAGAGAGCGTACGTCGAGTGGAAGAGCCAGTAGGAGTTGAAGGGGAGGCGCCAGGTGTGGCAGAAGCGCAGCACCTCGGGTGTAGAGAGGAAGCGAGGCGGGTGGCTTGCCATGTCCGTAACTGCCGTCACCACCACTGGAAGGGAGGGGTGCATGGGTGCGAGCATTGGGGGGGGAGGGAGGGAGAAAGAGATTGCAATTCAATTTCTCCACTTCCATGGATTATGGAAGAACGGAGGGACGAAGCTGGAACACGGGCAAGAGGTGTGAGGGGCAGGCGGCGGCATGGAGTCAAGCAAACCACAGTATTTGCACTCTCACCATAGTCCTGCAGCGGTCTCTGCCCGTGATCCCCCAGCACAGACGTGACCAGCTCCATGCCCACTGCCATGCGATGCCTCTGGTGTGTGTGCATGCACAAGGGAGGGAGGGGAAATCGAGTGAGGGTTTTTGGCGCAGGTTTCATTTCTGCCTCTGCTTCTGTCACGCCAAGCCCTCCCCCCACGCATTGCAACCTTTCAGTCAACTGAAACATCCACCATTCCCCCCACCATCCACCAGTGACTGACCTCCAGGTAGTCGCTCAGCTCCCTCTGCTTCTGCCGCACCAGCCCCTCCCCCCACGCGTTGCGCAGCGTCTCCCCCAGCACCCACACGCCCACCGCCGAGTACCTGTGGATATGGAATGAGGACGGGCGTGAGACAGGAGGGACAGGCATGGCAGCCAGGGGTGTTTTGGAATGTGCGGTGGTATGGTGTGAACACAACACTTCCAATCACTTTCCCCCAGCACATACACGCCCACACCGGAGACCTGAGGATGTGTGTGCGACAGGAGGGACAGGCATGGCAGTGAGTGGGCCAACACGATGTGGACGCTTCCAAATACTAGTTCTCCTTGATTGTAAGACACATCAAGACACGTCACTCACTCGTTGCCGTAGGAGTTCTTAGCATACGCGCCTTTCTTGATTTTGAGGCATCTCAGTACTCATCATCACTCACTCGTTGCCGTAGGAGTTCTTAGCATACGCGCCTCTCCTCGCCCCCGCCCACAGAAAAAGAGAGCCGCTGTGCTTCACTGATACCTGCTCGGGAGGGGGATCGACAGAGGGGATTGAGAGGGTGATGGGGGATGAGGGGCAGGAAGCGAGGGAGGAGGGAAGAGGTTGAGCATAATGCAAGCAACGAGTTAGATTGATACGGACTTGGCTGTCCAGGAATGTTCTGGATATCGCAGGAACGAAGCACGTCTCTTCCTCCAACAATGAATAAGTTTGACTTGGCGATGTTGTCAGGTGCAGATGAATTTGACAACATCAACGGTGCAGATTGCCTTAGAGCGCTCACCTCGAGAACGCCAACGCCATTGCCGACAAGCCGCTCCATCTCCCCGCGGACCTGGCGCGACGGTAGCAGGGCGAAAGGGGTTGGGGTGGAAACGGATCAGGGCGGAACGGGAAGGGCGGTATGGGAATGGCGCATCGGATTCAGCGCAATGACTCAATGGTTGGCCGCGTAACAGAGCATGACGTGAGAGCTGACCGTTTCCCCACCACTCCGTCTCCCTTATACCACTCTGTGAGTCGCCATCCTCAAGAGCCTCACGGATTCACCTCCCCATCTGCGGATTCGTTCTCGAACTTCGGGTAGAACGCCGCCACTATGCGCGCCACTGCCACCTTGCGCGACTTCGACCCCCCGCTGCTAGCGCTGCTCGCGCTGCTTGCGCTTCCGCACACTCCGCCTTCCCCCGCCTCCGCATTCGTTAAGCCGCTGTCGCCGTCTCCCGCTACTCCTCGTCCGCGCGGTGATTCGTCTTGGCGGGATTCCCTATGCTTGCGCGAGCCTCGTTTCTTGCTAGGCATGCTGCACGACGGACGTAAAAAATTCGGACGAAACGCGAGCGGATTTGTTGCTGGATCGCAATCCTGCACTACCGCTACTGTCAGTGGCGCTGCTGCTGCTAAATGTAGCGTGCTTCGACTGGTAGCGAGTCTGAGTCTAAATGCGGGACGGATAGTCGCTGTAATCTGAGCGAGCACACGCATTGAAACGATGGTTCGGCACGCATGAGTGGGGTCTGGGGTTGAAAGGAAACGCGGCTTGCTTCATGAAGACGCAACGCGAGTCTCTGGTCATCAGACCATGTAGGCTCGATCACGCCGTGAAAGCAGACTTCGCCTGGCATCCAGTCGCAGATGAATTTCAGCCGCTCCAGACAATTTGGTGTTGAATTTCTGTGACTAGTATATATTATTTTTTGGAGCATTAAGTGTTCGAAACTCTTTGTATCCAGAAACAAGCACATATGTAGGTTCACTCTTTGGAAAGAAATTATATCGGGGTTAAAAGGTGGCTCTGGTTTCCGTGCGCCGTTACTATGGGGCGAGGAATTTCAGCACAAAGCCGCCTTGCTACCTCCTAGTGGCACGTAGTCGCACCTACCATCAAACCCAAGGCAGTTCCGGGTCCGGGAATCTCGCAGCTGTTTTGACATCATCCAGGGCCGGGTCCCAGGTGGCTGCGGTTCGGCATTCAATCAGCACACTGGCAGTTAGCTTCGGCAAACGCCAAAACCCGATAAGTGGTTTCCCTCCCCCACCTCCTTCCCCGACCTACGAACAGTGGCTCCAGCTTTTTGTTGTGGCTTGCCAGGCTTGTTCCCGCCAGACGTACTTGTGGTTCGGCTCGGCTGTTCTGTTTCCGCCCACTTCCTTCGAGCCGAGCCTCGACCTTTCCTCCACCAACTTCGAGGTCTATGGTTCGTTCAAACCAGGCAACTAATCTCTTTTTCGCATTCAGAGCACCCCTGATGAGCAACTAATTCAGTGATTCCAGTGAGGAGGTTTCTAGATCGCCTTCTTTTCTGCATTCTTGGCTGTTGCTCTCTCCTCCCAGCTTCGTTATTTGAGGCATTGGGGTGCTCGCGCAGTATCGTAGCAAAGGACGTCTCGAGCTTTAGGCATGGCTCGATTTCACCAGATCTTTCTCGTTCTTAGCCTACTGCTACTCAGCTTGACGTTATGTCACGCGCAACGAGATCAAGACTACCCTGATCCAGCGGGGGACACCACCCTGCCGGAGGACATGGGCGTGCCTCCGGACCAGCTCGACCAATACACGGACCCGAATGCGTTCAACGAAGGCGAAACTGCTCCCACCGATGCAGTTCCAGGCGAAGACGCCATTCCCGGGGAAAATGCGCAAGATCCGTTCCTTCCCCCGGAAGACGCATACCTGCCCGACGATACTACTACTCCCGTAGACGAGCAACAGCCTGCGGACGAACCAGCTCCGGGGGACATCCCAACTGAAACCACCACAGCCCCGGGGGACATTCCCAGTGATACCACCACAGCCCCGGAGGATATTCCCAGTGATACCCCTCCCGTTGAGGACGCCACTCAGCCGACGGACACCGCGACTGCTGCGTTTGCTCCAGACACGACCGACGCTAATTTCGATCCTGACGCCGCCACTCCCGCCGACGCGACGGTTCCAACAGAATCTGCCACCGTGGCTGTTGATGATACGGTGACCGCGGGTAACGGCACGATGTACGACTTCCAAGGCGCGTACGAGAAGATGAAGGGCGGCGATCTCTCCACAGAGGCCATTATTGGCATCGTTGCTGGTGAGTCCTTGAATGCATCGCGCACGCGCTTTCTATGGCGGAGGCATCAGTCTGTGCATGTTATTCTGAGCCTTTTTAAATGCGAAACTTATCGCATTGGAAGCGTCGAGATCACGCAATCTCAGTCCAAAAATCTTATCATATCATGAGAGGACCGCATCTAGGATCCAATGTCTTTCGCACCAAGATCACTTCTTTCACAGTGACACTGATATTTCGCACGACTCAATCAAATTAGTTGCATCTAGACCGAGTCTCTTTCTCATAGAGGCTGTGCTGGATTGGCGTTCAATAAATGCTTATATCGCGTCGCGACTGAGTGTTACTCACATCTAAACCGGTTTTGAATGTACATCCTTCTCGTGAGGACTGATCGAAGTGCGGGCGTCATTCTGGTGAGAATATCTAGTGTTAATCTCATGAGACGAAGATGGCGTTTGAGCGTCAAGAGCACATACCCAGCACCTGATGTCTGCCCTCCACACCATCATTCCCTCCTGCTTGAACTTTTAGGCACTTAATTTGGTTTGGAAAATAGTCGTTAGGAATGTAGCTGTTGCAAAAAGTAGAGAACAGCACACTTGTCTTATGCAAGCCCTGCGTATTCTTACCTCGTTTCCCAAAAATTTCTCCCAATCCTGGCGCTTAGTCTCCCTTCCTAGCCTGCTATTATTTCCGTCCATTCCATTCTTATCCCCCATTGCCCTCGTAACCCCTCCTCACAAACCACAATTTTCTGTCCCCTGTTGACAACCCAACGATTCCTGATCCGTTTTTGCAATGCCCAGTTGCTCATCCCCTGCAGCCTTATCTTACTGGGTGTGGGAAAGCCTATCTTATAGCTGAACCTGCATGTTGAGATGGTATAATTCTCCTTGTCACTCATCCTCGCCTCGAGTATCATGCATACCCACTGCTGGCTGTGCAGGAGTCTGTGGTGGCATGGTCCTTGTCATGTGCTGCGCGTGCATCTGCTGGATTCGCCAACGCAACATCTGGCGAGCCAAATACGGAGAGTAAGTGAATGCTGTCGCTTTCTTTTCTCCTCTGGTCAATCCACCATGGTCATGTTTTGTCCTGCTGTGTGTGCTCTGAATTCCACTTCATCTAGTGTCCTGCCTTGTCCAATCACTAAAATTGCCTCCTTTTCTGTCCTGCCTCCCTTGTCCCTCATGTTGAGCAGTGGCAATGCAGGAGCTATTGAAATGTAGGGTCCAGAATGGTAACCTGTATAGACATTAACTACAGTGGCAAAAGAATACTCAAAATCATATTTATCAGAACCAAGTCTTCGCATTGTCATTTAGATTGTTGATGTTGTGTATGACAATGCCTGTTGGAAGGTAATCTGTGCCAGTGAGCATTTTTTTTGGAACAGTGAGTGTAGGTGAAGTCAGCTCAAGCTCCTTGAAAGCCAGTTGTGTTTTCTGTTGTAATTCACTTCTAAGAAAACATAAATCTGCAGCAGTGATAGTGGCAATATAGATCTGAAGGTACAGCTGATCTTGAGTGCTTGTGTTCAGGTGTGAATCTGAATATGCTAAGAGTCTGGTGAAGAACTTTTTAGACCAGATCAGCTGCGACTTTTTATTGTATCTGTCAGTATCGCTGTCGTACCCGGTATTGTCATCATAGCAGGACACACCAGATCAGTTGCGACAGACACTGCCAGTCCGAGATGCTAGTCTCCTCTCCATAATCGTCAACTTCTTACGATAGCTCATTACCGGGATGTCCGCCGCAGGAGACGCTGTAGTGGTCTCCGCAGAATAATCTTCGCCGGTTCCAGATTTACCGGATAGACCAGCAAAATTCAGACGTTCGCCGATTCTTGCAATCGCATCAACTCAACATGGCTCTGACGTCATCATGGCGGATCCTGGTCGTTGCGGTACTGATCGCGTGTATGGTGTCGTCAGCATGGGCCATGTATTGCGGCGACGACGACTGCTACGATCTTCTCGGGTATAGTCACTCGCACTGTGTATAGTCACACCTGATTGGTTCAAGTCACGCTCGACGCCGCCCAATCCTCAATCAGTGCCGTTCTGGCTTCCACGTTCGATGCTCCAAGTGTCATCCACAACCATACGCATTCCACGTGCTCGGATGACCACATTAGATCCACGCCGCAATCAGCAATTCGCAGCGATATTCTCTGTCACGTGAGCCACGGAGTCGTCGATCTCTCTCACATTCTCAAGCCATACGAATGCTTTCATGATGACAATCCAAATCATGTAACAGAATTGAACATGCTTCGTGAACCCGTCGCTGCTGCTCTGTCAGCACCCGTCATTCCATTCCATGCAACGTCTAAGTCTCCATCTGCTTCCTCGTTGTTTTCTAAAATTGCCTATCCACTTCCCTATCCCTGCTGTACCGTGTAACCATGTAACTGTATCAGGGTCAAGCAGACAGCGACACAGCAGGAGATTAAGAAGGCCTACTACAAACTGTCCCTCAAATAGTAAGCCCCTCGCTCCATGATCTCATCCTCATGCGCTGGTTAGGCTACCAACGCCCCCCACCCCTTGTCACCCATCACCGTTCCTCACCATTCCTCGCCACACCTCACCACGTCAGGCCACCCGTCACCACTCCTCACCGCTCTGCCCCGTATCCTCTCCCTGCATCTCATGACAGTCATCCAGACAAGAACCCAGAGCCCGACGCGCAAGCCATATTCGCCAAGATTGCCAACGCATATGAGGTACGCCTTTCCTGAAGCCCTGAGAAATCGCGTAGTAAATAAGCCTTTCGTGAGGCTGAATAAATGTACATTAGATACGGGTTCGTGAGGCAACTGTGCATGAGGTACGCCTGTTTGAGGCACCCCAAACTCGCATATAAGGGTTGCCACTTACCGCTGTGTGCCACTCTCTGATTTGACTGGATTATGGTTTGGATTTTGCAGTCTGTCAGTGTGCACTCATACTTTGCTTTGCACCACCTCGCTTTCAGACCCCTAAAACTATAGGGTACTCATCCACACGCCCACAAGCCCTTTACTAAACGAGCATAAGTCAACCTTCTACTGTCTCGTTCTCTTTCTCTTCTTCTCGACTATCCGTTCGTCCCTCCAGATTTTGTACGATGCGGAGAAGAGGGAGCAGTATGACTATGCCATCGCCCATCCAGAGCAGGTGGGTTGCAAGGCCTGGCCTTGCATGGCATGACACGGCATGGCACAGCACGTCATGGCATGGCACAGCATGGCATGGTATTGCATTGCATGACATTCGCCATGAGTAGATTCTGTGTTTTTTTTTTGCAAGTAGGGATAGCAGTTAACGTGTATGCTTGTGGCACCTTCGTGCTTTGCACCACCTCGTTCGCAACATGAAGACACACTCGTATGGCCCGCTCGTCAGTGCAAGCAACCCTTCATATCCCACTTCGCTCCCTTCTTTTCCCCTCCCTCCTCCCCCATCCCTCCATTCTTCCAACTATTACCTTCCTATGCAGTTTTTTTACAACACAGCTCGTTACTACCAAACTTATTATGCTCCTAAGACGGTGAGGCTTCTGTTGCTCCTTCTCTTGACAGAGCTAGTTGGCCCTCTCATCATGGCAACTATCCTGTGTTCACTGTTCTTTTTACGTGATAACTTCTAGCACTGCGTTCTGTCGCCTCCTGCATTGTACCATTATGGTGTGCTGCCTGTATGCTGCTCCCATTGCTTTTCACCGAACCAAATGGCATCCCGTAAATTGTGCTTCTTTCTTCTGTCGCCATCATTATAATCACTTTGTGTTGCACTGGTTGGTAACAGGACATTCGACTCATCCTGCTTGCAGCTCTGTTGCTGCTCTCGTCCTTCCAGTACCTCAACGATCACATTCGATACAACCAAGTGAGCCACAGTCAGTCTCATTGAGTACCAATAGGTGCTGTACGTCATTTTTTAATTTCAGCCCCTCGAACCGGCAGGCTAGTTGATATGCTTTTGTATCTATGGTTAGATTTCATGTGCCATGCTGCCATGCTGTTTCCTCTCCATCCCCTCACAGGCCATAGAGCACGCCAAGCAGACTCCCGCCTACCGCAATCGCCTGAAGCAGCTGGAGCTGGAAAGGGCTGCAGCAGCTGCTGCTGCTGCCAGCTCCACTGGTGGAGGCAGAGGGAAGCGTGGTGGGGGGCGCCGCGGAGGAAGGTAAGCCGTGGAGAACAGACACTTCACATTGTGGAAGTTGTTTGCGTTTTTTTACTTAGTGGATGCACCCCTTGGGAAACTTGTTGCATGCAATTTCTCTGAATTTGTGTTCTGAAAGCTGCTTACATCTAAACGCCTGTGCAATAACTTCTTGCCTGGGTCAAATATGTGGATGCTATCAGAGCAGCTGACGCCCAACAAGCTGGAGCAGCTGCTGCTGCACCCGCAGAGAATGGAGTGGCTGAACTCGAGCTTCAGGTATCATTTGCAATCACATCATGCAATGTGTATTCTTCGTGCAATGTTTTTTCACATATTCTTGTGTGACCCTGTCCGCCGCAGGTTCATGGAGCTGACAAGCCGTGCGTGTGGCGACTTTTTGGCGTTCAAGTGGTCATCTTCCCCTATCTGGCTGCTAAGGTGAAGCATTGTCTGCAGTTCTGTTGTTTGCAGTCCCTTTGTGGGCCATGCCTGTTCTGTTGACTGCATCTTCCACGAACGTACTGAAGTTGGTGCATTGCATTGGGTGTGCAGTTGATATGGTGGCAGGTGCAGTGGTTCCATCGCTACACCATATGCCGTGCGCCTCTTGGATGGAACGATGCTTGCTACCTCACACGCACCACTCTGCGTATTCCTGCAGCAAACTGGAGCTCCATGGGTAATACCAGTTGGAACCATGGTAGCCTGATGGCACCTGCTCTTTTTCTTCTTCTTCTTCTTCGTCTGTTTTTTCACTCTTTGTTTCATCCATCTCTTAACCGTATTTCCTGGTTGAGTGTTGTACGCCCACGTTGTACCGTACATTGCCTTGCAGGGGAGTCTGCCCAAGAAAGGTTTGTGGAGCGCAGGCTCTGGATCAAGCAAAACCTGAATGATTATCGAGAGGAGCTTTCCAAGTCTGTGAGACGTAGACGCTAATGATCTCTGCAATGCAGCAGTAGGCGCTGAGCTGGGTTCTTCTTGGCAAGGATACGTACTTGAGCTCACTTGTGGATGATGTTGGAAGTTACGGTATCCCTGCTCTTGTGACCTTGCACAATGAAGATTGTGTAATGAAGTCTTATGCGGAATAGTTGAGGCCTGCGCAAATCAGGAGACGTGGATGCTAATGACCGCTGCATTGCAGCAGAGGGTGCTGCTGAGCTGAGTAGGGCCCTTTCTTGGCATTAATGCTTGAGCTCAAATCTGGAAAAGGATGGAAGTCATCCCTGCTTGTGTAATGAAGATTGTGCAATAAATGCCACATACAGAATAGCTGTGGCCTGTACAACTGAAGAGTGCACACTATGACGAACCCATCAATCTCCTCCGTTTAGCTGCGCCTTGCATGCTGCACAATCCACACGCCATCAGGAGTAAAGACATGGCTGTAGCTTGCATCGGGGAAAAGTCATGAATTAGCTGGCCATACCTGTTCATTTCATTAGACACACTCAACGCTGTCTCCCTTGTGCTTGCCTCAAATTCAGATTCATTCTGCAGCAAATGAAAAACAGTGCAGTTAGCCCCCTACAATGCATATACAGGTTTGCATTTGCCTTAACTCCTGCTGCCTCGAGGGTAGTGCTCTGCTCACCCGTTTCATGGACGCCGGCATGACCTTTTTAGATGGTGAGCTGACCAGTGGTCGATCGCGAGTCTCTGCACCTGCCATAATAAGATTCGCCATGTGTGAGACAAAGAACTTTGGAATTGCGACAGATTTGGAGAAATACTTACGTGGACCGAGAGTGGTGAATCCTGGAGGGCCAAAACCAGGAGGGCTGATAGCAGGGCTCTCATCTTGTATTCTGACGCTCTCTCCGGAAACAGTCTTCACGAGACTGGATGGTTCAACTACAGGTTTAACCTCCCACATCAGAAACGGCCTGGGAGATGGTGCAGCAACTGTAGACGGCACAGAAGCTTGTGGAGGTACAATAGGCGGACCACTGGACAAGTCACAGAGAGGAGGCATTTGCGGTGCCAATGGCTGTGGTAGAATAACTGGAGAGGTTGATGATCCAGGCAACGTGAAGCCTGGCGGAAGTGAAATGCTTGGAGGGGCGAGAACGGGATCCATTCCGTGCTGCAAAATAAGCAGCCGTCGACGCCGCTCCAATTCTAAATCTGGTTCTGACGCTTCCTTCTTAGTTTCAGACGGCAAATCTTCTCTGTCTGAAAGCTCCCCTTCCTCCGCCTCCTCGAATTCAGGTTCCGCTAGAACTTCACCTGCGTTACCTTTTCTTGCAGTACGTGGCAAGACATCTGCGGATGGTAACAGGTTGGGCCGTGCATTTCGCGATTCAGTTGGTGCAACTGCTTCTGGTTGCCACAAAGGCAAGTCATCTGAATCATCATCAGGCCCTGGTGGCTGAAAGACAACACACATTTCAGAAGTTAGAGTCTGTGAAAGTGAAGCAAAGACTGCATGCTACGTTCAGAAGTTCCACCAAATGGCTAGATACCTGAGCTGCTGCTGATGGGAGCGCAGAACTTTCTTGCACTCTCTCTTGATGTGGACCTCCAAAACGTGGAGCACCTCTGTCAGGTACATCCAGTTCTGCAGCTGGTTGAGCGAGTGTCTTCTCTCCAGGATACTGATAAACCCACTGTTGTTGCTCCTTGGACTCTATCGTGCCCTGCCAAACATATGTGCATGTCAGGCATGACAAGTAGCAGCGGAACCAGCAGCTTGAAGGCATGAAGGCAAGAACTCACATACATTATCCACTGGAGCACCTTTCACAAATATTGCTGTGTCTGGAACTGGTGGGAGCTGATGCAACTCAGAATCGTGGGACATGCTGGCCAATCCTTGGCTCAAGTAGTCATCGATTGCCCTGCACAACCGATACTCATACATTACGCAGGCAGCAAGTGATGGGCCTTGTCGAACAAGTTGATATGAGACAAATAAAACGTCAGTCAACTTACCTGTAAAAGTCGGTTCGAACATAGCAAATAATGTTTCTTGCATGGACTAAGACAGGAACAGCCAAATCAACCTGCCAGCCAAATCGAAGTGAGGACATAATGAGCTGGCCGGTTTAACTGATAAGGCTAAACCAATACAGTCCAGCGAATACACAGACCTCGGCAAGGGGTGCTGCATACGGAGCAAAAGGTTGAACAAGGTGGACACGTGGCTGGTCCCTTTCCTCCCAGACATTCATTCTGTCATCAATAATGACAGTCAATCTTGGATCACAGTCGTTCCTGTGGAACACCTTCTGTAATGATTTGAATGTTCCTGCAATTAGAGCCCATCAATCAATGAAACGTTGAAGATGATATCACAGATGAGACTTCATTGAATAAGAAGGAAAACCAATCACTGAAGAAGAACATACCAGCTTTGACTGAGATGATACGGGCTGACAGCTCCTTCGGTTGAATGAGTTTCCCTTCAGGATCGAGCAACCTCCACATTTCCAAAGCATACTGCTTCTCTGCCATCGTGCACACGAAGGCCTCAAACCGCTTCCGTCCCTTGGTGGAAAAATAACTCCGCAAATCTTCCCAAGATGGCCGCATTCTGACAAGCACGCTAGTGTCCCGATTCTGCACAGTCACACCACACTATATCAGGCTTCCGCTCAGAGTACAACAGAGTCCAAAGCATGAAGTGTGTAAAAAGAACATGATTTCACCTCTGGAAAGATTCGGGTTAGGACAATGTTTTGGTGTGAGAGCCTGAGGACAGGCCGAGAGGCAGGAAGGGATTGCCCCTCCACCGGTGTCACAGCTTCAGGCTGAGCCACGTAGCACTTCCCGTCAAGCATGACAGCGTTGGTATCATAGTACTGAAGGAGGATCTGCCTGTCCTCCTCGTAGCGACCCAGCTCAGCTGCCAAAAGCTTAGCCAGTTGCGGATCACTGTTCGCAGCTAGCCGTTGCCTCAGCACACCGATCTTATCTTCAAATGATTTCATCGTATTGGCGACAAAAAGGGTTTCATCGAGGTCGAAGACCACAGCAAGGCAGCGGAGGTTCAGCATCTTCAAGCAGGCCGAGAACTGGCCTTCCTTCACGAGGAATCCCCAGAAACATGGTCTGTGGTTCTTGCGATGCGCCTGGCGATTGCCTAACATAGCAACCAAGTGCACCTCGGATCCTCCCATGGACACGACGGCAGTCTGCGAGGTCAGAAACACAAGTTACTAGTTTGCTGAATCCACTGTGTCCGTGGTGACGTAAGATAACAAAAATGCTACCGAGACCATTACCTTAGAGTCTGTCACACATGAGCTGTGGATTAAATCCAGCTCATGCCAACTCGCCTCGCAACCTTCTTCGGGAGCTAACTTGAACCACAGCCCGTCATCAGATATAGTATGAAGCACGACTTGCGGCTGTAGTCTTTCGCTGGACTCCGAAAAACCTCGGAATTCCATTTGCTGATAAAATAGTTCTCGTAAAGCTTTGCCATTACGTGCTGGGGTGAGTGAAACTTTGGCAACCAGCCTGCCTGCGCTCACAAGTCTCGATTTCATTGTTTTCAAATTCAGTTATTGCGTGCTGTGAAAATATCTTCTATGTTAGTAACCAGTCCTTAGGAATCAGGTTCGCGAGTCGGACAACCGCAAGATGCTGAAGTTGTATCTAGGTGATCTCAGATGTCAGCAATGAAATGGTAGCGATGGTGACAGAAAACAGATTAGCTTAGGAGGCTGAGAGATAGCTAGCTTTCAGGACTGAAGCCTGACCACAGCTGTTGGCCGATAGCCTGATGAGGAAATACTCGGTATCGTGTCAAGCGTTTGTACGCATGACAGAGCTTTGGGGATTCAATGTTACTTGATCCTAATGTTCTGTAATTAAGTTCCAAAATGAGGGTATAACATTGGCCCATCTACCTATTAGTGGTGTTATTTTCATCCAGATGATTAACATCAGAGAAAGAATAAGCCTTAGATAGAATAAAGATGCGCATCATCATCCGAGTAATACAAAATGCAATCATGTTTCAGATTAAGGTGTGGCAGTAGCCAGAATTATAGGCGTCAAACTTTACGTTAAGCACGAATCAAGCTGAAAATGCTCTCATATGTGTATTTGAACATGAGTCGCCCGAATATGCATGAACATTCAGGATTTTAAATGCTATTCTATACGCCTAAAAAATTCCATACGCATTCTAAGCATTTGACGGCAAGAACAGGAGGAATCAGAGGCGCCAAACATTTCTTTGAAGAACTAACGAAGTTGAAAACATTACAGTAAGTGTAGTTAACCACGAGCCAAACGCGGAACTATCCACACAAGTGCAGAAAAAGAACCAGGCATCTTTCATTCACAAGAACCAATGACCGATCATGCTCGTCACCCTTTCACAGGAAGTGCAGCGGGCGCTCTTCATTCGCGAGCGCCGAACACCGATGATGCTCGCAACCATCCCACGCCCTTGCTGGCTTGGCAATAGGCCCAAACAAGCGCAGCCACGTGACACGCCGCAGGCAGAAAACGACGCGCGCCCGAGGCGCGCGAGAAGCAGAACAGCAGCGGAAGCATCGGGTGGGCCCACCCACAGGATCGACCCAGGAGGGTCGACCCGCTCTGATACCATGTCAAGATAGCAGATGAAAACGAGAAACAACAAAGAGGGGTTTTGCACTAGCAGCAGGTAGGATACATATATGAAACCCTAGTTTGGGGTATACTTACTACAGAGTACCCCACTGCAGGCTAGACAAACATAACATTCAGACAGAAAAACGCTCGGAAGGAGCGCTTCCAGCCCAAAACGTGGAAGGATCCCCGCATCTGCAGGAAGTGCAGCGGGCGCTCTTCATTCGCGAGCACCGATGACCGATGATGCTCGCAACCCTTCCACGCCCTTGCTGGCTTGGCAATAGGCCTTTACAAGCGCAGCGACGTGACCCGTCAAAAGAAAAACACTCGGAACGAGCGCTTCCAGCGCCAAAACATAGAAGGAT